GAAACAGGACGCCCTCTTCTGGCCTCCATAGGCACTGCATGCACTTGGACAACCTCCCTCCCAATCTCCCTCCCCTCATATACACAATGTTCCTAGTTAGTATCGGCTTCAACTTGACACTGTCTGAGGTCATCTGAGGGATTCTCAAATGAAAGGTTTGCCCAGATTGGATTAGCCTGTGGCCATGTCTGTGAGGACATTTTTCCAGATTAATGATTGATGTGAGGAGCCCACTGTGGGTACCACCAACTGGAGGCCTGGGCTGTATAAGAAAGTTGGTTGAGCATGAATCAGAGAGTGAGCCCACAAACACAGTTCCTCCACGGTTCTTGTCTCTGAGCTCCTGTCAGAAGTTTCTGCCCTGATTAATTTCAATGATGGATTGTGATCTGGAAGTATAAACCAAATAAATCCTGTCTTCCCCAATTTGCTTTGGTTGTGGGTGTTTTCTTTTCTTTTGTTTTGTTTCTCCCACAGCAACCGAAAGCATAGTAGAACACAAATAATTAGAAATAGTTTTTGTTGTTGTTGTTGTTGTTGTTTTAACTAAAATCTCTACCAAGGTCACAAAATGTCTCGTCTTCTAGAAGCTTGATGCCTTCTGGCTTGTGTATCCACATTAATGGTGGGTAAATAATACTCCCGAAGTGCATCTTGGAATCAGATAGGAAACAAAACCATAATGTGAGCGTTGTTCAAACCAAAATCAGATATGAACAAGCACCTTGGAAGACCACTACTGCGTCTTTCAATTCCCCATTCTAGAGAACAAAGTTGTGTAGCCTGAATAATAAAAACCTAGAGACAGATATTAGGGTTCAAACTGAAGATCAGAAAAGCAAAGGTAGGACGGGGGGGGGGGTGGAGGGGAGGAGTAGGGCTGGAGACAGGGGTGATCCTGTCCTCCGAGTGACTGCAGACTGCAATGCTCTCCACCAAAACTCTCAGCTGCTCTCCAAGACTGCACGGAGATCCTGCCTTATATTCTCTCTCCTGTTGGGATTAAAGTTGTGTCGTTCCAAGTGCTGGAATTAAAGGTGTGAGCTCTGTTTCTCTTTTAGACTGATTCACTCTCTTGTAGCCAGGGTGGTCTTGAACTCACAGAGATCCATCTGCCTCTGTCTCCCGAGTGCTGGAGTTAAAGGTGTAGCCACCACTGCCTCTCCTCTGTGGCTAACTAGTGGCTTAGGTGTGTGGCTAACTAGTGGGTTCGCTCTGTACTCTGATCTTTAGGCAAGGTTTATTTGCTATATCATAAACAAACAAACAAAAAATCACCACAAAGTTGTGAAGATTAAATGAAGCAAACACTTTGTAAGGGTCATTACTGGTCCTTATCAATTTGATGGGATTTAGAACCACCACAGAAACTCATGTGTAGATACATCTGCAAGGGCATTTCCAGAAAAGTTTAACTGAGGAGGGAGCTGGCCTGAATGTGGGCGGAGTTCCAAACTTAATAAAAGAGAGAAAGCAGTTGAATATCTCTCCTTCCCAACTGGGGACACAATGGGAACAGCAGCCACCTCATGTTCCTCCCTTCCCTGCTGTGGTGAAGTATATCCCAAACTGTCACAAAAAAAACAGGCCCTTCCTTCCTTCCTTAATTTGCTGTTGTCTAGTACCATGGCATAGCAATGACCCAAGTAACTAACACACACTTGAAGAGAACTGCACTAGGTCATACCTGTGTGGGCTTAATATTAGCACCCTGCCTTACTAAACAGCATTCTTTAATGTTCTATAATTCTTGGGTTTTTGGCCATCAGTGAAATCATCTAATCGGAGTTCTGTTCAAACAAAATAATAGCAGTGAGGCCCAAAAGAATTTAGCTTTGGAGCTAGAGAGATGGCTCAGAGGTCAAGCGCACTGGCTGCTCTTCCACAAGTCCTGAGTTCAATCCCCAGCAACCACATGGTGGCTCCCAACATTCTAAATGAGATCTGGTGCCCTCTTCTGGCACACTGTACACATAATAAATAATACAGTCTTAAAAAATTAGCCTTGAGGTAGAACTAAAATGTTCACATGCTACATTCAGACTTTCAACAGAGCTCAGATCTCAGCCAAACGCCCAGGCTTTCCAGGGTGCAGATTGACCAACAGCTTCTGTCACTTCTTGCCATTTCACAAGAGGAGATATTACCAGTATGCATATTCTGGCAGCAGCAAAGGCACCCTCCCACACAAACACACATCCGCACTCATCCCAAAAGCTGTCACAGTGATTGCAAGTTCCCTCACTTAAGGAATGAAATCCACCACCACCACCACCACCACCACCACCATCACCACCACCACCACCCCATGGTGGGAGTCAGACCTTCCCCCCAGGCCCAGAAGCCTAGAGGGAGTCTCACAACCAGTATAGACCCTAGAGGCCATTTGGAAGGGATTGACTGCCACCTCGTGGCCACTAGGTACACTATCCCACAGAGAGTAAGAACAAATTCAGCAAATTGCTCAAATCAGCCTCTATTATTTTGGCTAACAATGGTGACTGCATCTTTTGATGTGACCTAAAGTCTCTTTGAGTGTTCTGGCACCATCCCACGCTCTAGAGAGGTTGGCATGTTTTGTTGTCCATGGTGTGTTTGTTTGTTTGTTTGTTTGTTTTAGGACAGTCTCATGTAGCCTCAAATTCAGTAGCTGAAGCTGGCCTTAAACTTCTTGAGCCTCTTGCCTACAACTTCTGAATGCTTAAATTATAGGTATGCATCACCACACCTGAGACAAACCCTCTACCATCTGAGTTACTTTCCTATCCCCCCAGAACGTTGTTTTAAATAATTGACTCCACTCCAGGACAATTATGATGGTTCACCATCGTTACCGTGTCTGGATTTAGAATAACCATGAAAATACACCTATGTTGTGTATTTGAGGGTGTTTCTAGGCAGGTTTAACTGAGCTGTGATGACCCATCCTGAAAGTGGGCACCATCATCCCACGGACTTAGGGTCTTGAGAAAGCAAGCTGAGCAACGAGCACCAGCCCTCTTCAGTGTCTACTTCACAAGTGGGTCTAAGCTGCCTTAGACCCTCGAGGCTGTGGCTTCCCAGCCATGGTGGATGCATCCTTGAACTCTGGGCCAAAATAAATCTTTTCTCTATCCCTTCCTTAAGTTGCCTTGGTAGGGTATGTTGACAGTCATGAGGAAAGCAGCTAATGTAGCAATCACACTTGAGCTGAAGCTAATGCAGCGATTGGCATGCTTCCAATTGAAAAGCATCTTTCTATTTGCTCTGCAATGTCTAGACTTCAAAGAACACCACTTGGTAACTGTAAGAAACCTTAGGACATTTTTTTTTCATTCCCTATGTTCCCCTTTAACTTTTCCTCCCTCCTTGCTTACCTACCTTCCATGTAAGCATCCCTAGGTAATCCCTTCACAAAGAAACCTCTACATCCAACTGTCAGTTGCTGGCTGAGTGGCTTTGGGCACATTTCTTACCCTCTCTGCTCTATTTAAACATGTAAGAGAATGGTCTTTGGGGCTTTAGAAAGTGTAGGAATGGAAAATCAACTCAAGAGAGTATTAGTCCAAATATGGCCCCCACACTTGAAATGATAATTACACCCTAAAATAAGAACTGTCCTTACCTTGACAATCTACATTTTTCAGTTCATGGTGTTCTTTCTTAAACAAATAAAATGAAATCTGCATGTAATAAAGACTCTAAAATCAAACTTCCAGTTGGCAGGAAGTTGATGGGAGAGAGGCACCAGCCCACACACTGCCCTCCCAGGCAGTGGAAGCTGTGCTGTGTGCCTTGCCTTCTCCGGCAGACAGGCTCTCAGCCTCCAGGTTGTGGGGAAGGCTGATGGATCCCAGCAGCATGTGGTCCTAATAACTGTCCCCAGGTGGAGGGAATTGCCCTGATCAAGGTTCCTCATTCTCCACCTCTATGGCTCTAACCCGGATGGCAACACCTCCTGCCTCCATTGTGAAATCTCTGAAAAATCCTGTGTTCTACAATGCCCGAAAAGACCTACTTAACTTCAGGTGACATCTCCCCCTTCCAAATCCCTGGTCTTTTCTGGACCCCCATGCTTCCTCACCTGGGTTGACCCTGAGAATCCACCGGCAATAAACCATCATCAGCTTGCAACACTCCATCCCAGAGTCTGCTATCCTCTCTGAGTATAACAGCGAGAGTCACCCTGCCCAAAGGAAAGCCAGGCCTTTACTCCTTTATACGGGTCCATTCAGAATGAAGACAATGAGCCATGCCATCTACATGTGCCATTATCCTTTGAATAACTGCTGACTCCTCTGTCACACCAACTACACTGGCTCTTCCTCGGACTTAACACGTATGTTCTGCCTCAGGACTTTTGCACTTGCTGTTCTGTATTCTTGGTATGCTCTTCGTCAGATAGTGAAACAACCTCCATCTCTCACCTCCTTCTAGAATTCTAGACTCAATTGTCACCTCCTCAATGAGAACGCTATACTTAAGCATGCAAGACTCCATTTAAGTCCAGACTCCAAACCCCTTTCTTACTTTGGCTTTCTCCACAACATCACCAGGGTCTGGAACACTGTGTTTTTCTATATCAATATTGCTTAACTTCCACCTTCTCTACCAACCTACACTCCTTGGTCTTAAGCTGTCTTCTTAGAGGCTATAATTGTAACCGGTACAAGGTAGCAGCTGGCTCAGTGTTGACTGCACGGACAAACAAAGGTAGCAATGGAGACCTGACTGTGGAATGACAAGATCTGGAACCTTCAGGGACATCACTGAGTAGCATCTGACTTGATCTTGACAGCAGGAACCATCATCCTCCCTTCATTTTGGTAAGATTTGTGCAGGGCCACATTTGAGGAAGCATCAGATAAAACAACTGCTAAATAAATGTAAGATAATTTTTGATTACACTGAATTCTTCATCAGTGAGCTAATTACTTTTTTAAAAATCGAGTACAAGCTATCAGATTTTTTTTTAAGCAAAGGATATGAAATCCAGACACAGAAAACCCTGCAGATGTTCAGATATTTAAATGAAATATAGAAAGCTTTATTCCAAAGCCATGCATCTCCTTACAAACTTAATAAAGAGCCGTGTCTACATTTACAATTTTTCAACAATTTGAAGATCTTCTGCTCCCACAAAAAAAGTTGATACAAGTTAGTTCCATAATTAAAAGTTTAAATGACTTCCTTATTTATATAAAGTATATTCTGTCTAAATGCAAAATCTTCAAATATAGTTTACTATAAATTGCTCTCAGTCCTGAAGTCCCCAGTAGTCTGTGGAATCACAGGTCCCAGTGCTGCTGGAAATGAGGTATCAGGATGAAAATTCAAATGGCTTCCCAGGGGCCTTGATGACTCAGGCAACAAGCTCCCTCCAGTCCCTTTGCTGTGCAACACCCCCCACTCCTACTGCTCACAGAGTACTACGCACAAAGAACAGCAGCAACCCTGTCATTTAACAGTTCTCAAAGTTACAGTTCTTTCCAAACCATCTTAAAACCCAAGCAGCGGTCTTGCCTACAGCCGGTCACTTTTTTCTTTAATGATATTTTAATAAATAAAGACTACAACTCAGTTACCAAGCCCTGAAAGCAAAAGGCAGCAAAATTCTGAGGAGACACAGCTACCAATATTTTGTTTTGGGGGTGGGAGGTGGGTCACTTCTCCAGAATTTAAAAGTAAAATCCTTGGGCTGCAATTTGTTTTGTCCACTGTAAAAACGAAAAGTAGCATCTGTGATAGCTGACTCAAATGTTAATAAGATGCAAGTGTCACGCTGTACAGTGGAACAAACCCATGGTTTCTGGATGCTCGTCAACAGTGAGGCGCGAAGCTGTTCAAGGACAAGCCCGCTGTTCAGACAGCCCGATTAATCAGTGCCACTTCCGTAGGGCTTTTGTTTTGATTGGGTAATTCACAGCTCTACTGTTTTTTAATGGCCTTTCTTTTTTAATAGGGAAAGAGTCTCTTCATGTGGCCAGTTTGCAGTTTTTACAAATATTAGGGTTACTTTCACCCTGCCAGAGGTAGATGCACATAGCTGTGTGTGCTTACAAATGCTTGCCTGCTGGAAAGGAAAACTTCATGTCAAGTCAACATGGATGTTCTCACGGCTGATGAGTCTGCAGAGATGGTACGGCAGAATGTTCCGATGGGTTCTCATTATCAACACTGCCATTACATTGGGGAGAACAGTATGGAAATGAGCTATATGAACACAAATGAATACAATGGCATGATTGATTCGGGTTCTTGATGCACATAACCTGGAGCCGACTAAATACTGGTCTATAGCTCAGTCCTATAGTTTAGTCCTGAGAATCACTGACTTACAATGGTGTGTGGGTGTGCATGTGTGTGAGCATGTGTGTTGGTAGGGATTGAACCCAGGGCCCTTTACATGCAAGGCCAGCATTCTAAACTAAGCCATGTCTCCAGGCCCTACAACCATAATTATGAACAGACAATGGCAAATATAAAACCAGTTTTGAATTCACCCAAGTATATAAACAGCAAGGTGGAACATTCTGGAATTACAATCACATTATAGTTAACAAACACACAGATTCTAAAGCTGCTTAAGTTGACAACTTTGGTTTCCCAGTAGGAAAGCTCTGCTATACCAATGGGCACCTGCCCAACTATGAACTATAAAAGTAACTTTTTTCAGTGCAAATTACAATTGCTATTGGCAAATAGCAATGACACAACAAACACATGGAAGACTTGAAGACAAAATATCCTGAAAGCATGTTTCCATATAGAAAAGGCAATTTTGTAAACAGGCATGGTGGCACACACCTGTAATCCCAGCACTCAGGAGGTTCAGAGGGTTGTTAGTTCAAGGCCAGCCTGAGCTATATTCAAAAGTCAAAAGTCATGTTTCATCTTACAGTAGGCTATGACAGGTTGTTCTGCTCCTCTGATTGGGAGTCTGGATGTGAGAGTGTTTAAACACTCTCTTCTTGTAAACAAAGTCAACATTCTACAGTTCATCATGTTTCTTCTTAAATGGCCACTGTGGATGTTGCAGTACGTGCTCTGAAGCCTGAAGGACAAGGTACATGAATTCTTCTACATCAAAAGAGTAATTGGTAAACTTTGGGTGTTCTCCCAGCGTCGGATGGTGCCCCTGAAGAGACAAACCAGAACAAAATCCCAAAGTCACTGAGGGTGTGTCTCTCCTACAGAAATGAAATCATTTTGCTTTGGCTAAAGCAACTATTTTAACGTATGCTATTCAACAGAGGCTGGCAAGCTTTTCCCATAGAGGTCCCAATAATATTTTCAGCACTGTCAACCATCTGCTCTCAGTCACAGATGGCATTTCTCTGCCAAGGAAATGCACAAGCAATCCTAGACAATATGCAGACAAATGTAGCTGCTCCCAATAAAACTTTATTTACAAAAACAATGGGTGGGCCAGATTTTTACCATAGAGCTACAGTTCGCTGGTGGCTACTATGTAAAACAGCTTAATCTGATGTAAGCTGTTTTAACAATATGGAGGTTCTCTCCAATTTGCAAATATAAAAAACACCTCCATATTCAAGAGAATAGTGTATCTTTGAGACTCAGTGATGGCTCTTGTTTTAATAACTGGGATCCAAATTATTTGACTGAATGTTACCTTATCTTGAGGAAACACTTTGTTGGGCTTCCGCCAGGTGATGTAGTGGACACCTCTGAGCCTGGCCAGGTCTAAGTAACAGCGCTCATCTTCACAGTTGTACCTAAGGACACAAGGGTGTCACGACATAAGGCTTTTGTTCAGGAGGTTGTCCAATATATAACAATATAGGGGGAAAAAATCCACCCCCACAAGAGCGAGATAGTTTTACAAACATGCTCAGGGTGAGGAGACATAGGTCTGTGGTCTGGTAGCAAATGTAAGGCCCTGGATGTGGTCCCCAGCTCTCCAAAAACAATTTTAATCAATATTCTCAGAACCTTGCCTGAATTTTTACAAAACACAGTAAGGTAAAAGAGTAGGCACCTTATTCAATAGGTTCTACTGCCTATGAACTGGAGATTATCTTGTAAGACAGTATCTTCACATATACGGAAAATGGAATCAGGGAGGCAACACATTCAAGGTTAAACAGCTGCTTAATAGAGGAAACAAAATCCCACCCAGATCTGTTGGAATCCTCCCTTTCTCCTTTCTTCCATCCTCCCCTCTCTTCCTCTAGGACAAATGAATTAAGTCAGAATTCCCAATCCCCTTCTGCCTCACTAGCCACTGGAAAATGTCGCGCAGAGTATTGGAAATCTGTAACAACCTTCCCTCCGATAGTCTCCTTAAGGATTTATCCTCATCCCCGTCTCTGCCTCATATATGCTGGGTAAGCCACCCACCTTTGGAGTCGTGCCTTTGATATCCCTGCCATCACCACCCTGTTCTCTTTCAGCATGGTAATTATACTGCTCACAGGAAGGGATGGCCCACAGAGCGAGAGGTAAACAGTAGTGAACTCTATTGGGAAACCACAGACTCACGTCCTATGACTGGTACTGAGGCTAGGGGAAGGAGTGCCAGCTTCCTAAGAACACTAGCAGACCTCTCTGATCTTTCAGTTTGAGGTTGCTTTCCTTTCCAGATAACACCATGATGTTGCTTGACGGTAGTGGATTAGGCCAGCTAATGCCCAGATTGAAACTCTTAGCTGGCTCCTAAGCTCTCCGTGGAAAGCTGCCACCTGTACTCACAGCTCGAATACAGCAGCCCAGTCTGGAAGGAAAAGTAAATGGGTAAGGCCAGCTCCATGCATGCCAATAAATATGTCCGTGTTGTGTGTGATCCTCAGCTGATCCAAAAACCCGAGTTCTCTGCAACGCGGGACAACACAAGAGAGATGAGACAAAGGGTGAGTTAGTTCATGATCCACAGTGACAGTATTTATACACTTGTGTCACAGTCTACATACAAGCTGTTACGACAACTTCAAGTGCACTCCAGTATTTAATAATTTAATTCATTCTTTGATAACTAAACACATTCTTTAAGCACAAACTTGTAGCACAAATAATAAAAACCCACAGACAGATATTGGGGTTCAAGCTGAAGATCAGAGAAGCAAAGCAGCCAGATGCTAGAGAGCTCTCACTCCTACCAAGGCACAGACCGAAGGGACGATTCCCTGAACCTCACACTGCTCCCGAATGCACTGCTCCTCAGACTCACTGAGACTATACTGAGCTCCTTATATACCTCTCTAGTGCCAGGATTCAAGGCATGGGCTCTGTGTCTCTTTTAGACTGATTCACTCTCACGTAGTCCAGGATGGCCTTGAACTCACAGAGATCCGTCTGCCTCTGTCTCCTAAGTGCTAGAATTAAAGGTGTGTGCCTCCACTGTCCAGCTTCTATGGCTTTGGCTAGCTTTACATTCTGATCTCCAGGCAAGCTTTATTAGATCATAAACAGTATATCAATCACCACACAAACTTTTACTTTTGTTTTTCAAGGGAACATTAGTAAGAAAATCATGACACATGATATCAACATGATTACAAAAATAGGTATAATTCAAATAAAAGGTACCATTCAAAGGTAGGCAGGTAAGACTGAAGAGCAGGGCTCCTACCAGGAAAAGGGAAATGAGCAAGTGCTAAAGAGATAGCAGAATATCCCAAGCTGAAAATTACTCCTGTTAAATAGTAAAAGAACTTATAAAAATGAGGATTCGGGCTGGAGAGATGGCTCAGCAGTTCAGAGCACTGGCTGCTCTTCCAGAGAGCTTGAGATCAATTCCCAGCAACCACAGGGCAGTTTACAACTATCAGTAACTTCTGTTCCAGGGGATTCGAAATACTCTCCTGCCTCCCTCTGTCACAGCATACATGCAGGACTCAGACATACATACATGCAGGCAAAACGCCCATCCCCATAAAAGAAAATAATAATGTAAAAAAAAAAAGAATAAATTATGTGATGTGAGTTACTCAATGCCACATACCTAAAATGATCTCAGATGCAACAAGCCATTGCCTGTCTTTGCAGGAGACTAAGATTTGACAGTTGTTCTTTAATGTCAAGATACCAGTGGAGTGTGAGGATAGAAACTGTGTGTGTGTGGATGGGGGTGGAGGGGGAACGGGACAGGTCCAGAGATGAACATAGGAAAGAAAACAGCAGAGGAGACCCTGGTAGCCACCAGCCTATGTGTGCTTCATTCTGCCAAGGGAGCATGCTCTCAAAAGCCCATTACATGACTGGGAGAGGCAGGTATATGTCAATAACCCATAAAGAGTCACTGCATACCTCATCCCCTGCCTCCATCCCTACCCTCTCAGAGCCAGGCAGACACTGGTCTACACCTGTAACACCAGCAGATGCAAATATGCCTCCTGGAAATCGGTCCACAGAAATGTACTGAAGTGAGGCTAGGAATGAGAACTAGAATTGGGGGGGGGGCGGGGGGAGGTGTAGAGGGACACTGAACAGTCATAGAAAAATAAGTGCTGCCAGCCCTACTGTATCCAAAGTGGAGGATGATAAAGATCTAAGAAGGAAAGGTAAATTCTTTCTTAAAACAACTTTTTGAAAAACCCCAAAACAAAATAAAGAAACAGAAAAGGAAGTCAGTCTTTCTGTGTGTCTCACACCAGGGAAACGTGTCTGTTTGCCCAGGAATGTGAACTAGTGCCAAGGTAAGGACGGTGTGATGGTTAATTCTGACTAATTTGACCCACTGTGGAATCACACAGAAAGGGTGTCTCCATGAAGAACCGTCGAGATTAGATTGGCCCATAGATATATTGTGAGGAGTTTTCTTAGGTGGTTAATTGTGGTGGAAAGACCCACTTGGAAGATGGGTGATGCCATTTCATGGCCAGGTCCAAGACTGAATGAGAAGGGGAGAGCAGGCTGTGCACTGGCATGCAGGCAGGAATTCCCTGCTCCCTGCTCTGAGACCGTGAACCTAATGGGACTAGCTACTCCAAGTTCCTACACCTGACTCGCTGAAATGATGGACTGCAGTCTGGAATTATGAGCCAAATAAACCTTACTCTCTTAGGTTGTTTTTGCCAAGGTATTTTTTTTTTAATCACAGAAGTGAAAAAGGAAGCTAAGACAGATGTGTTTGCTCAGGTAAACACAGGTAAATCCCTTGGACTTGCCAGCTGGAGAATCACCGTGGACTGGCAGTCACAGATGCCAGTGCTACTCAGTTGTTAATGATCGCCGTAGACTGACAAGGTATGGATTTATTTTCCTGCTTCACCAGGAAAATACTCAGACAGCCTTGAAAGCAGGCAATGGCCCAGCATCAGAGGTGCCTCTCTGGCTCCTTCAGGTTAATGCCAGGCCTGCATCTTGGCCACACATGTATGTCCTCATGTGCCTATGGAAGAAGTCACCACAGCACAGGGTACTGAGTGAAACAGAGGAGCGTTACACCCTCAGGGCACGGCTGCCAGTGTAAGGTGAGAGAAAGACAGCGGGACATGACAGAAAGCCTTCACATGCAGAGACTGTGACGGATTTCTCTATCCTGTGTCTGAGGTCTTCCACACAAGAGGCACACTGTCCTCCATACCTGGATCACATCTTTGAAGCCTGGTGGCCAGCTCATCCTCATATCCTTAAGGATTCATCCCCTTAGGAAGCAGGAGCTGATGAGTGAGATGCAGCATTCCCAAGCCCACTGCATCTATGGTAGGTACCCTCTGCAGGGTTTGTGTGCGCACACCAACTATCTCTCCAGCCCCTTTTAATCTTTCCTACACTGCTAGACTTTTTCTACCTGGAGAATGTACTGCCACTACAGGGACTGTTCTCAAGTCAACAGGAATTACTACACAGCAGCTTCAGCCTTTTATATGTTTTATTTTTAATTCATGGCCTTCAAAGTTGAAATCCATTAGCTAGCAAGGCAAATTAGGCCATATATATAATATATAGATAGTTATATCTATATATGTGGATATATGTATATATGTATGTGCATGTTAAAATTTAATAGTAGCTGCTAACTTTTTTAAAAATTCAGATATTTCGGGGGCTGGAGAGATAGCTCAGAGGTTAAGAGCACTGGCTGTTCTTCAGAGGTCCTGAGTTCAAGTCCCAGCAACCACATGGTGGCTCACAAACATCTGTAATGAGATCTGGTGCCCTCTTCTAGCATGCAGGCAGAACACTGTACACATAATAAATAAGTAAAATCTTTAAAAAAAAATCAGATATTTCAAGTGAAAATCTGGATTCATTATTTCTCCAGAAAAATAATATTGTACCTGAACAGGAGACCTCAGGAAGCTCAACAGTGCCCCCTGAACTTGTGGCCTCTGTCATCCCCATTCTGCTGAATGATAGTGTCTGAGTGTCACTTCTTGGTCTATAAAGGCCAAGAATGCCCACTGCAGAAATGCTCTGTCCCCACCAGCGAGTGGTTCAATCTGGGGGTAAGAGCATCTTCCCGGGCTGAGGCTCACCTGTACTTGTAATCAACAATCCGGACTTCAAATGTGGATACTGTTTTCAGTGCATTTACCAGCTGCAAAAAAAAAAGAAGCACACATAGAATTATTCTTCTCTGCTTTCCTTTATGAATCCTAAAGTTTTTTTTTTAATTAAAATTTGTTTTGTTTGTGTGTATGTCCTGTGTTTATATAGTACCTGAGTGTACAGAGGACAACTTCACATGTTGTTCCTCAGAAATACTATCTACTTCATTTGCCCTGGAGCCAGCCATACCTGCCGTTGTGTGTGTGTGTGTGTGTGTGTGTGTGTGTGTGTGTGTTATACATGTCAGTGTGGATGTGTGAACCTGTGCATGCAGGTGTGTTATGTATTTTGGAGACCCAAGAACACCACCAAGTGTCATTCCTTCATGATTCTTCAATTGTATTTTCTGAGACAGATGTTCTCCCTGGGCCAGAAGCTCGCCAATTCAGACTGCTCAGTCTGTGAGCTTTGGTCATCCACTGTCTGCCATCCACCCCACCTCCTGGTGCCATGTCGGAGAATGCTACCGCTCTTGGCTTTTGTATGTGGGTTCTCGGGATCCAGACTCAGGTCTTCATGCCTGCATAGCTGGTACTTTATTGACTGAGCCATTTTCTAGTCCCTTCTCTCTTTAATATTAAGACAGGATCTCCCAATGAACTTGAAGCTCACTGCTTTGGCTCAGCTGGCTGGCAAGTGAGCTCCTGGCATTTGCATGTTGCTGTTCCCCAATATTGGGGTTATAGGCACATGCAGCCATGCCTGGGTTTTACATCAGTGCTGGCAATTTAGACTAAGGTCTTCCTCTTGCTTTCACAACAAGCCCTCTAACCCACTGGGCCATTGCTCCAGTCCCTAATCTTGTATATGGGTTCTGGGGGTCAAACACAGGTTTTCAGGCTTGTATGGCAAGCACTTACCCACTGAGCTCAACTCCCAAAGTTTATTAAATTTTTGCAGATAAAAATTTGTATGCTTTAGACATCACTTATGTCTATTATTTTAGAGCTCATTTGAATTCAAATGTCGACCCTATCTCTTGACTTCATTACTCTATTTCCCCATAATTTCAGAACAACTGGGTCCTTCAAGGCCAAGAGGACACAATGCTCCAGACGCTATGCTGAGATGGCTCTTTCCAGCCAAATCACAAGGAGTTTGGGCCCCATCCTCTGGAAATACTGAAGTATCAGCAGAAAACAAAATTGTTATTCCTATATAATTCTAAATTCACTTTTGGCTATTGTTCTGGCAGACAGAAAGCTACAGAGTATGAGTAATGTGCTTCTCAAAGCAGCATCACGGTTCTGCATGTCCCCCACAGCACTGGAATCTGACACTGATCGTTTGCATCTCTACCAGGTGGTCCTACACAGCAACAGCAACATGAAAGGTTACAGAGAGCACTGATCTGGGCAGGAAGTAGAAGCAGTGGTGGGAGTCTGGCCCACAATGAAGAAGGCTCTTGTTTCCATCCCTGTCACAGAATCCGGGGGGAGAGGGGGGGATGGAGGGAGGAAACCAAATCCTGCTCTTCTCACCGCACAGTCTCTGTTCTTAAGCAGTGCACATGAATTGTTGACTGCAATCTAATCAGTCACTCCATTTTATACACATGTATGCACAACTGCACAACACTCGTGCAGTCACAAGATGGAAGGTTCCCTCTACAAACAGCCACTCTTCTTCCCCAGGAGGGAATTAATTATGTGGCATGAGATTCAGTCATTTAATGAGGTGGACTCACATCAAAGGAATTCCATGCATCTGAGAGTCCTGGAGAGTTTTCTTTCTCTAATTTCCAACCACACATGATTATCTCAACAAACGTTTGCACTGGGGAAAGTTTGTGCTAACCATCATTTAACCAGACCACCTGGGAGCCAGGCTGTACTCTTAGCACTCATGAGGCTGAGGCAGTTCAAGACCAGACTACATAGTGGGTTCCAGGTCAGCCTGGGCTACACACACCTAAGTCTTATTCTCTGTTTACTAATCAGCTTAGTCAAAGTACTGTTGCCCTTGTCATGCATACACTTCAGAAGCCATAACCTGTCTTGGGGGAAGAGCAGCATGCTGGGTTCTCTTGGGCATGCCATTGGGAGCTGAACTACTAATCTCATCTCAAAAAATTTGTGCAGTTTGCCTGTAGAGTCTGAAAATGTCAGGCCAGTACCACAGCAAGATGCTGGCACTGTGCTTTTCCCCAAACTTACTTCCCCTGGCTTGATGCTATTCCCTGACCTGCCCTTTCCGGATGGTCTGGGCTCATAGGTATACTCAACCTCCTCTTGCATATATCTGCTGTGACAGTGAATGGAACAACAGTCTTAGGTCCAGGCTTCCTTGATTATCTGCCCAGCATGAGGCAGAATGCAATCTGTGATCTTGCTCTGCTGAAATAAATGAATTAGATGCCCAGGAGCAGTTTCCAAGACATTCAGCCATTCAAATGGATGGAATCTCTTCCAATTGTATGTGTTGCCGGATACTACAGAAATACCAAGTGACATCAGTCATCTCTGAAAAGGCATGCTTGCATGTTGTTACTAGTTTGACTGGAGGGAGAATGTTCAGTCTCCCGTTGCAGTCTAGGCAGGACTCACAGTTTTGTTTGGCTTTGGTTTTGCCTGGATTCTACATCAAGCTGGTGCAGGTGTACATTTACAATAAAGCAGATCTGGATGGGGTGGGAGTTTGGAGAAGCTAAAGACAGCAGTTGTAATAAGCATAGACCATTAGGTAGCTCTAGAAACCAACAGTTTCAAATGAAAACTTTTAATGCAATATGAAAGAGCATATAGTACATTAGCCATGGGAGGCAGAGTCACTGGGATAAAAGTTTATACCAAAGCACTAACCTCATTTTGGTTCAGTATTTTCCGGTATTCTGTACTTCGTGCAAGAATGGTAACTCGAACTTTCCCATCCTATGATGAAAATGAAAAGTTGGAATAATATGGGATGTGTTTAGACACCCCCCCCAAAAAAAAAATCCAAATCTCAAATGCAATTTCCCAGAGAGGTAAAACTCACTGAGGACATACTTAGAGAATGGTGAATATTGCCCTGACGCCTTAACCATTATCTCAGGAATATTACTCAACTATACAAATGGACAAATCCATCATTTAGTGCTGCATAGAGGGAGATGGGAGACATTATGTTAGCATAAGTCAGGTACAGAAAACAAAGACATCATGCTTTCCCTCAGAAGCAGACGCTAAAAGAGCTGACCTCATAGATGTATACAATAGGATAGTGGAGAATAGCAGATAAGTAGAGAATAGACTAGTGTGGTGGAGACTAGGGAGGATGGGGGGAAAGAAACAGACAGAGTAGTTACATTATAGATACTGGGGGATCAAGGTCTGCTGTCAATGTCACTGTAGAGTTACCGGGCTTAACAATAATGTATTTTCTATTTCCAAAATTTTGGGAGAAAAGACTTGGGATGCTCCTACAACAAAGACATGATTGATGCTTGAGGTAACACAAATGCTTTGATAATTATACTGGGTCAAAATATAACACTGTACCCTAGAAATGTGCACAGTCATATGTCAATTATGAATACCTTGTGTATATCCACTTTAGCCATGGAAGACCAAAACCTGTTCATTACACGATTACTTAGGTTGTTGGTCAGTAGGATAGACTGTTTTTAGCAGGGATTACAGGTATTAAATGGGAGAAGGTGGCAAGATATGGGCAAAGAAATAGACAAAGACAAGGCAAATAAAGCATAGTCTTACAGTACCGTTTAGCTTATCTTCAGTGGCTGCAGGACTCCAGGTCAGGCAACATTATCATAGCAAACACTGCCTCCTGGTTGTGTGTTTCTCCCCAAAGGTGTCATTGATTAGAGATGAACAAGCAAGCCTACTGAGAACCCATAACATATCCATTACCTTGGGTCCCTCCTGAGTGATGTTTAGCCTATGCAGCACATGCTGGGAGAAGGCCCTGAATAACCCGGTATTCTGACAGCCAGAGATCTAAAACAAAAGCACCAAGTCATGTCACAGTGAATACTCCTGCACTTCGATTTCAGACAATCTCTAAAAACACAGGAAGGTCGTCTCAGGTGCTTACCAGTGGAGTGTTATAGAACAGCCCGTACCGCATGCGGGGCAGCAATGAAAACACAGCTTCTTTAAAGCACACCTGAGAAGAAAGACAGTTTAGAAGACATCACAGTAAGGTGGGCACCCTTCACAGGACAGCACAGTCAGTGTGCACCCTTCATGCCCAAACAACGATTCTCATTTTAGAAAATAAATTCTAACTCCTCTCCAGCTTATACCAAAATAGTCTAACTAGCAAACTATGTCAAAGAAAATAAAACTCGTATTTTTGGAAAGTGTATAGAAAGGTTTGAAGGTTTATTTCCAAGAATTCTAGCTATAATTATTTAAAAAAAAAAAAGAAGTCAGAAATCAATGGTAACAGCCAAGAGAAATTCAAATTAAATATGTATTATGAGTCACTTGCACCTGACAGTTACTTAAAGACATTTCAGTAGGTTTCTAGTACCTTTTTGAAATCGTAGGTTTTCAAATGTATGACGTCATAATCAGTAAATGCTTTCCAGGTGTCGGAGAACAGGTCACCATATCCATAAGAGCTCTGAAGGGGGGAACAACAAGTTAGTGTCACAAGATGATGCTTAAGAGGACACACATATATGACACCATTTGTACACACAATAGTATGTTCACTGAGCAAAGTCCATCATATTAAGTAGATTGTGTTTGGAAAAAAATGCAAAGCAAGAAAATGGCTTGAAAACTTAAAACACTAAATGAAAATTCTCCCCATTGAATAATGAATAACGTGACAATACCCCATTCACATTAACAATGTCACTAGTAACATCACATTATACAACACACAACACTAACAATATCTGGGATCCTTCCCATGTCCCAGGCACTATACATGGTCTAAGCACTATAGATTATTAATTCAGCAAACATCCCTGCTACTCTAATGGGCAAGCTGATGTCCTCCGCCTTATTTTATACATGAGGAAACTGTACAGAAACTCTAACAGTTTACTAGTGAGCTACAGGGCTGTGGTCAAATCCACTCTGTGGTCTCAGACTTCATGCTCATAAATGCTTTCCCTGGGTGTTTCTCCAGTAACACTCCGATAAAGACCCTCAAGACCATCTACAATCAAACTGTCCTGTTGTTGCTCAATAATAAATAAAGAGCAACTCAAAGAAGTAAACTTACAGTTTCTTGAGATAAAACACTCTAGATAAAATAAGGTAAAAAAATTAAATTAAAAAAATAAGGTACATCTGAAAGGAATTTTAATAATAAATAGAGTATTCTGGCTGGCCCCTTCCCAGGGAACTTGTGAATTATTTGAGAATAACCACTTGCAGAAACAAATTCAAATTACCCAGCACAGTGGAGGGAGGGGATACTTCTCACCTCACATTGAAGAATACTTGGGTATTCCCTCAAGGGAACAAAGCAAGAAGAAAAAGAACATTCTCCTGGGCAGGCCTCAGATTTGAACGTGCCCAGAGTCCCCCACACACAAACACTACTTTTAGGACTCTGCCCACAGGAGGAATGAGGGAGAGCATGTGAAGAGAAGGTCACAGTGAGCACTCTAGACCTGACAGTTCATTCACACTGATAGAAACTATTCAGAAAATAACTGTGTTTTTGTTGAATATATACAGACCTTTTCTCTTCGCCACTATAATATAACGAATGTTTGCATGTACTGGGGTCCAGCAGGATGTGCATGTCACAGGCAATTCTATACTACTTAACACAGAGGACTTGAGCATCCAAGGATTTGGATGTCCAGTAATGCCCCATACATACAGAGAGAATACTGCATAGGGCAAAGGTGTTTATAGTATCCAGTTCATAGCTCGGAATCAGAAACAAATGAAGTGTGGGGTGGACAGAGATGAACACATGCAGGAAATCCATCAAATGGAAAAATGCTGTCACCACCCAAAAAGGACATGGAAAGATGCCCTTGTAATCTCAGGGCATATTTTATATAATGATATAAATAAGTCTTTATATAAATGATATGCATATAGATCTTTATGTAAGTCCTGATAAATTTTTGCTTAAGGATATATTTATATTTATTCAGATAAAAAGTCTTGAAGGGACTTATACATAAGCTAATTGGGACAATGAAATCAGAGGGGGAAGAAATGGCTTTAAAAGAAAAGAAAACCGAATGGATGGCACTAGAAGAAACCATCCCGAGTGAGGTAACCCAATCACAAAAAGACAAACATGGTATGTACTAACTCATATATGGATTTTAGACATGGATCAGGGGATTGCCAGCCTACAATCCACACTGCAGAGAGGCTGGGAAACAGGGAGGACCCTAAGAGAGACATGTATGGTACCCCAGAGAAGAAGTGAATAGGATCTCCTGAGCCTATTGGAAACATGGGGGGAGGAGAGAGGGAGCTGGGAGAAAGAGAAAGGGAGAAGAGGAGGGGAGATGAGGAAATGGGGGAGCAGAAAGGTCGAGTTGGGGGAAGAACAGAGGAGAGCAGGATGAGAGATATCATAATAGAGGGAGTCATTATAGATTTGAGGAGAGCTCTGGCACTAGGGAGAATTCCAGAGATCTACAAGAATGACACCAACTGGCAATCTAAGCAATAGTGGAGAGGCTACCTTAAATGCCCTCCCCCAATAATGAGATTGATGACTACTTTATATGCCATCCTAGAGCCTTTCATCCAGTAGCTGATGGAAGCAGAGGCAGACACCCACATCTAAACACTGAACTGAACTCCTGGAATGCAGTTGCAAAGAGGGAGGAGTGAAGAGCAAAGGGGTCAAGACCGAGCTGGTGAAACCCACAGAAACAGCTGACCTGAACAAGGGGGAGCTCATGGACCCCAGATTAATATCTGGGAGGCCAGCATGGGACTGATCCAGACCCCCCCTGAACGTGGGTGTCAGTGAGGAGGCCTCCACAATCTATGGGGCCTCTGGTAGTAGACCAGTATTCATCCCTGGCACTTTGGGAGCCCACTCCAGAATGATAGTCATACTTGCTGAAAACCAGGTGTCTTGTTGGCAGGGATCTTCATGGTGACCATGTAAACACACAACAGGCAGGATGCTTAGAAGCTAGCTTGCTTTAAATCAGTCCACTTAAGGAAGATGTAAATAGACATACAAGATGGTATGAAAAAGCTTGTAGAATGTATGTGACAAGTTTCTCTTTACCTCACAAGTTCTTCAGAGGACTATACAGAAAGTCCCCTTAGCCCAGCCAGAATCCTTGGCTCCACCCCTCAATAGGTTACCCATCTGTAAAATACACTAATAAAAATCCTTATCCATATTCCCCACTGTGAGGATGTGATTTTTTTAAGGGATTTCTTTTTAAAATGTTGCAGAATTGCTGAGAGATGTTTTATGAGAGATGTAGCCCACTTAAGCAAAAAGAAGGAAAAAGAAGAACACTGTCCCCTTTGCTCACAGAAACACTGCCAACAAATGAAACTGAAGTTGTACAGTAAAACTGTACTCCAAGCGGAAATGGAAGTATGTACAGAGCAAGAGATAAAGAAAGCAAAAGCACGCCAAGAATGCAGAACCAGTTTCCCAAGGACTTTGAGTCACCCCAGAGTTCAGAGAGACAGCTATGGCAACAACTATACTGTAAGTCTATGAAGCAGGGTCAGCAAATGCTTTCTCCTTGCCTGCAGAACTGTTTATGAATTAGCTGGTGTGTTCTGCTTTCTGACAACGCTGGTGGTGCATGCCAGCTGCTTCCAGACAACACTGCTTCCGATTTAGATACATGTGTAAGAGTCACTCTAAATAGTGAACTAAAAAACAGGCCACTTAGCATCAAGCTGACTGCGGTGGGAAAGCTGCTATTAAGCGAAAGATAGGGACTGGGGTGTAGCTCCAAGGTGGAGTGCATGCTTTTGCTGAGCATGTATAAGGCTCTGGGTTCTGGCCCCAGAGCTGGGGTGGGGGGCGGCAGTCCAAAGGGCAAAGTAAACAGAAGCACTACCACCTTGAGTCACAGAGGCTTCATGTCTCAGAGGAGCACTGAGGCAGACACTGGAACTCTGCATTTGGGAACCCCATCTATGCCTAAGGAAAAGAAATTCCACTCCTCCATTCTGAAATTCAAAGTGCTTAGGGTCATACATATCTATGGGACAGGACATGGCTCATTTGGTAGAGTGTTTGCTTAGCATGCTGCAAGCCCCGAGTTCAATCCCAGCACCATGTAATCTGAGCGAGAGGAGCAAAGGGTCATCCTCAGCGACACAGTCAATTCAAGGTCAGCCTGAGCTACGTGAGACTCTGCCTTAAGTACAATCAAAATCCAACAGAACAACAACAGCAACAAAGGACTCAACATCCATATGTGCCCGCTACTGTGCACGCGTATATATCAGGGGCCCACAGAAACACATTTGAGCACATCTACACATGTGTGAGCCTATGGCATATATTTAAAGATGCACCTTAGAAACCTCTGTTTCACAAGGTCAGAGGCAAACCATGGAAGAGCAAGACAGAGCTGGTACAACAGGAGCGAGCGGGCGCTTACTTACGGTGTCCCACATCACGATGTACACGTCTGTACTGAAAGAATTGTTCACGTGCTGGGTGATGTAGAGGTTGAGAAAATCACAGAAGTGGTGGTACATGTTAACACCTGGTGTTGGGAAAGAGAGAGACACATTCAACAAGTGCAGAGTGCCCAACAGAGCGACTTTTTTATTCCGTTCTATCTGCTTACAGTTCTGGTTTTTTAATCTTTAGTTAAAATCAATGAGGGAACATGTCTCTCCTAGATATGGGCTAGACACAGGTACTTGTCAACTTGAAGAAGTGTCAAGCTCAAAGTCTTACTTTTAAAATTGATTATTCTGAAATCAGGAATTCGTTTTCTCCTACACATCAGGTCATAGAGAGCTTTAAGTTCCCGGGGGTGGGGGCGGGGGGGAGAACCACATAGGTCTGTTTAACACAGCATGAGGAACTATCCAGTCACAATGACTTATAATTCCTTCCAATTATTCATTTTAAATCAACCAAATGACATGAGTACATAGAAGCACGGGCAATAATCACAAACACTAACATTGCAGTGGTTTTCAATTCTTGTCTGTTCTTCCCTATTTAATCACTTCTTACATTATTATTCTTCCAAGTTTTTTGCATATGGGTATTCTGCCAGCAAGTATGTCTGTGTACCACATGCATGCCTGGTACCTTTGGCAGCCAGAAGAGGACGTTGGATCTCCTGGAACTGGAATCACACCGACCATTATGAGCTGCCATGTGGGTGCTGGGAATCAAGCCCAGATCCTCTGGAAGAGCAGCCAGTGCACTTTATGGCTAAGCTAACTCTCCAGCCCCTGCTTACACTGCTCTTGGGCTAATATTGACCAGTTGTTACGGTGAGTGTCTCATGTTATAAGTGCCAGAGCATGAAGGCTGGAGTATAAAGAACTGAGCTGAATCTGGCTCAGTAGCTCATGGGCAGCATCCCCAGACAAAGTCTCTAAGCTAGAGCTTTGTCACTAGAGATGGAGAATGTACAGAGAAGTGTGAAGCTCTCCTTGGATGAAGTCAGACAGGATGGCATCTTCAAGTGCCTGGCGCACAGCGAGACCTTCATGAAGACGGGCAGGAGCTTAGTGGGTCAGAGTACAGCAGCAGCCGTCGTAGCTGTCACTATTTTTAATCCCCATGCCAGCCATTAGAAAGACACAAAACAGAGGCCATCAATTGCCACCGAGCCTGATGACCTGAGTTCAAACCCTGCCCCCCACTCACCCCATGTTAGGAGAGGACCAACTATTGCAAGTTGTCCTCTATACCCAACAAATTCAGTAGCATGCTTGCGCACATGTGTACACTGACACTAAATAAATAAATGTAAGAAATAAAGGATGGCCAGGCAGTGGTGGCGCACGCCTTTAATGCCAGCACTCTCGAGGCAGAGGCGGGTGATCTCTGAGTTCAAAGCCAGCCTGGTCTTATGGAGCAAGTTCCAGGACAGCTAGGACTACTCAGAGAAACCCTGCTTCAGCAAACAAACAAACAATGAAGAAGAGGAGGAGGAAGAAGAGAAGGGAAAAGAAAAAGGGGGAATGGAGGTAGAAAGGGGGGAAGAAGAAAGGAAGGAAGGAGAAAAGAAAAAAGAAACAGCACAATTTTGATTTAGGTATATGAGACCCAGGAGTCAGCCTGGAAATTGTACAAATATAAATGGGATGGGATGGAGAGATGGCTCAGAGGTTAAGAGCACTGCCTGCTCTTCCAAAGGTCCTGAGTTGTTCACTTCCCAGCAATCACATGGTGGCTCACAACCATCCGTAATGAGATTTGGTACCCTCTTCTGGCCTGTAGGCACACATGCAGGCTGAACACTGTACACATAATAAATTCTTGTGAAATAACAAATAAAACACACATGAAAATCAGTGACTCTCAAAGGCAAAAACCATGAAACACCCTGACTTCATTCCCACAGTAAATTGTAACACAGAGTGCTGAGAAGTAAGAGGAGTAGATAGATCCTCTAGTCTGGTGAACAGTTACAAGGGACACCTTCTTTCCTTTAATTACATTTACCTATTTATGTGTGTGAGCACATACACCACAGTGTGTATGGAGTCAGAGGACTGCACGCAGGAGTTGGTTCTCTCCTTTCACTATATGTGTCCCAGGGATCAAACTGAGATTGTCATACTTGGTGGCAAGTGTCTTTACCCATTCAGATGTCTTGCCATCCCTGGAAAGAACTATTTCGTGACTCAGAAAAATCTCAGCAAAGAGCCTATTTTCAAATTAACAGGTAAAAGTTTGCGTTAGTGAATGTCACTTTTCCCCCAGTGGACACTGCAGCTCACTGTAGCTGCCCCATAACACTTAGGGAGTCCCTGACATTTACTCTGGAATGCATGTCAGTGTCTGGTGTCACGAGGATTTAAAATGAGGAAGTAAACACAGACTTGCTTCAAGCTGGAGAAGTGAGGCTGGGTAAGCTCTGTTCCTTGTCCCAAAGTAAGAGTTAGGAAGCAAAAGGAAATAGGATGACTTGGTGTAAATTAGGAGGAAAGGCTGAGTACCAAATATAGGAAAGAAATGGCACACATCTATCTTGGCCCATTCATCTCCACTTTACATACTCTATTGCACATAGTCTGCATACATATTTTATTGCATACGATCTGCATAAATTTCATGCTTCACACACACACTCCTTTACAGGAGGATCACCGTGTTTCCTTTTTCATTTGCATATTTTTAAAAAAAAGTCAGAACCTTGAACAAAGCATTTTAAATTCGCTTTTATTTCAAAAAGCTAAACTTGTCTGGTTTCTGAAACTAACACTTTGTAATAAAAGAATTATGACTTCAGGTGGTGGGGCACATTAAAACTATGATCAATAAATTATGGTAATTCTCAAGTATTCGTGACAGAGGGCTCTCTATATTTCACTGTAGGCCAGGCCACTCATGAATTTTGATAGGATATAGCACTGCAATCTCCATCTCTCATAATGAGAGGGATAATATAACATGTACTGTGTCTCTCCTTACCAGGGCAGCTAATTGCCAGAGTTAAAGTTATGCTTGCAGGCCAAGACCTAGCACTGAAGGCATGATGGGAAAATAATTCTGACTTATTTTTTTTTAAGAATATACTGCAGTGCTAACTTCCAAAAGAGTTTTAAGTTCATATGGGTACAGAAAATTGGCCATGACAAGGGATGGGCATTTCCCACTCACAGTTTACCTGTGGTTGCTAAGTACACACACACACACACACACACACACACAGAGACAGACATAAATGTAATAAAAGTGATAGATGTAATGAAAGAGGTTAGAGAAACCAGACAGGATAAATTTAATTCCTAAAGGTATATGCAGGCCACTTTCTTTCATCTTGATTTTGATGGAATCATTTCACATAAATGTGATGGTTTCTTCTAGAATACCAAAGGTATAAGATAACAGGAAGTTGAAACCAGTTCATCTATGTTAGAAGAGGAAGAGCCAGTATTTATCACACTGCTTTCAACAAATTGACAGAAAACAACTGCAAGCATGTCAACAGACGTGTGCCTGAAGAGACAGCTCAGTGGTTGAGAGCACTAGCCACTCTGGCTGAGGACCTGGGCCAGTTCCTAGCACTGAAATGGTAGATCACAATTATCTGAATCTCTGGTTCCTAGGATCCAATGCCCTCTTCTGGCCTCTACCAGCACTGCATGAATGTGGAGCAGACACACATGCAGGCAAAATACCCATACTCATAAAACAAAACAAACAATACACAAGTAACAAAGTGACTTCTCACCTGCATCTAATTTCATGAAATAAGTTGGTTTTTCAACAATGAGGTCACATTTAGCATCTTCTATAGGTCTGAAATTGAGTTGAGTGTAGCCTTGTAGTTCAGCAAACCTGGAATTGTGAATTGTGACATAATTTGAAAGTGATTCTTCCAAATGTCCTGTTGCAACACCGTAACCTGGACCTGCCCATGAGGCAGATTTTCTTTCTAGTATTAAGCAGTCCTGTGGAACATCTTCCCTAATTTGATGACATTATAGACTCTAATGTCAACTTTAATACTGAGAAAGGAACAAAAATGCTTTCAAAATTCAGGCTAACTCATAAGACTTGTAAGACAATTGGGAGGCTACCACAAAATGAAAGACTGATATATTAGTAGAGATTCAACAAGGTGTCCTGTCATTTGGAGGCTTAAATGAAGACTTCTTGGATTCTGAGAAAGATCATATTCCAAAATGAACTAGAGCCTCAGAAAGACAGAAAACATGAAAGCTTCCCTCAAGATTGGGAAACATCTGTGGAAGCCAAGGGTACAATTTTCATCCAAACAAATGACGAACACCAGCATGTGAAAATGAGTGTCTAAAGCTAACTGAAGATCACCAGCGGCTCCCTGTGAGATCAAAGTTCAAGTGAAATATCAAACAGAATCACTCAGAACACAATGTGAAAACATGGTGGTGGTACAAACACTGTTCATGAGTCTTTCTCCCCCTCCCTCCGTCTCTCCCTCCCTCCTTCCTTCTCTCCCTTCTTCCTAATCCCTCCCCATCCTTTTTTGTGTACAAATGAGCTCTCCTTGCATCATATAGAGGGGAGGTTGATGCCAGGGTGTCTTCCTCAATCACTCTACACCCTTTGTTTTTAGTCAGGGTCTCTCTCGGAACCTGGAACTTGCAAGCTCAGCAAGGCTGCCTGGACACTGAGCTATCAAGGACACAGATGAGCATCACTGGGCCTGGACTGTTTTATGTGGATGCTGAGGATCAGAACTCAGGCTCTCACACTTCAGCAATAAGCACTTAACCCACTAAGCTGTTTTTCCGGCCACAAGAGTTCCTTAGTACTTCTCCCAGCACTCAGGAAACTGAGGCAGGAGGATCACAAATTCCAGGTCATACTGGGTTATTAAAAAAACAATGCTATGAAATAACCCTTCTGTACACCATGAAGATGTGTTGCTCTCTTGTTAAAAAGCTGACTGGCCAATGGCTAGGCAGAATTTTTTCTGGGCAGAGAGAATGCTGGGGAGAAGGGCAGAGTCGGAGGAGACGCCATGAGATGCAAAACGAGCAGGATGGAAAGTACATACATGAAGTAAACGAGCCTTGGGGTAGCAGACAAATTAATAGAAATGGGTTAATTTAAGTTATAAGAGATAGCTAAAAATGAGTCTAAGTTATTGGCTGAGCATTTATAATTAATATTAAGTCTCTGTGTGGTTATTTGGGAGTTGACTGACGGGACAGAGCTGGTGGGTGATCCCAAGGAAAAACAGCCTACAAAAAAATTTTTTTTAAGAAGAAAGAAGGGCTGGAAAGATGATTCAGCAGTTAAGAGCACTGGCTGTTCTTCCAGAGGACCCTGGTTCAGTTCCCAGCACCCACACAGCAGCTCACACCTGTCTGTAACTCCAGTTCCAGGGTATCTGGCACCTTATCATCAATGCACATAAAATAAATAAGTAAGTAAATTATAAAAAAGAGAAGAAGAAAGAAAAGAAATGGAAATCAATGCCCCCTCCCCCAAATGGTCATAGTTCAATGGCTTACTTCAAACCAACAGAACACAGTAGCATGTCATTGCTGAAGTTAGGTTATACAGCACTGCAGCTTCCAACTTCAGGAGGACATGCTCTGGAGGAAGCTGGCTGCTATTAAGCACTATTAAGAGACCCACAGGATTTTGAGAGCCCATCCCTTGTGAAGGGATGCTCTCTTGACCTGGACACATGGGGAAGGGCCTAGGCCTGGCCCAGGATGATGTGGTAGACTTTGGGGAGCCCCTTTTGAGGGCCTTACCCTGCCTGGGGAGTGGAGGGGGGATGGCTAGGGGCAGGTGGGATGTTGGGGGGGGAGGGAGAGGGAGAAGGGATTGACATCTGAAGCAAGCTAATTTGAACTAATAAAATAAAATAAAAAAGAAAGACCCACAGAGTGAAAACAGAATCCTCAGTTCCATAGTCAGACAGAATCCCAGGCTCTGAGAACAGCCTGGGTGAGCTTGGAAGTAAGTTTCCAGGCCTAGCTGGGCCTAGAGATGGCGATAGTCCCACCCAAAAGCTTGACTACAGCCTTATGAGGCCCTGCTGAGCTGTTCCCACTCTGACACCAGATACTAAAGTTATCTGCTTTATTTCAGGGTAATTTGTAACAGCAATAAATAATAAATATAACTATGCCCTAGAGTATATTTTAGAATAATGTGTTACCCGGCAATAAATAAAACAATTATGCCCTGAGGTACTGTAATATAGAATCAGACATCAAAATGAACTAGGAATGAAAATGCCTTGTAGAATAGAAGAAGCATCTATTTGTAACAATCTGCTAACTCCCCAGAAAAAAATTTCACAGCAAAATTATGACTACCATATAAAGGTAGATTAGATTATATTCCTAATGTTATGCCCAGCATTGAATGACCTGAGAAATTAACTTTACATTAGAATAGCCCATATGATCACAAGGGAAATGCATGAGCATTTGTGGATAACAGAGGATTCCACATCCTGACGAGGGTGGGGGTCACATGTCCCTAGACATGGGATATAAATTTTCTAAAGTCACATTTGGAAAAACAAGTAAGTGCATATGTAAGCACAGGAGAAGCTCACACATGTGTGGGTACTAAGACTGTATCGACGACAATTTCCTGGCTTTGATAATGGTGCTGTGGTCAAATAAGACATTATCATTCCAGGAAGCTGGAACAATAATACAATGGCAACTCCTGCATGATGTTTAAATGTCCATGAGTCTAAAATGGTTAAAAAAGTTTTAAAGCTCAAAATCTCATGGCCAGGCATTGGTGGCTCACGCCTTTAATCCCAGCACTCGGGAGGCAGAGGCAGGCGGATCTCTGTGAGTTCGAGGCCAGCCTGGTCTCCAAAGCGAGTGCCAGGATAGGCTCCAAAGCTACACAGAGAAACCCTGTCTCAAAAAACCAAAAAAAAGAAAGAAACATCTCATCAATGATGGTAAAAAGTTGGGGCAGCATCTGGCCTCAGAGAGAGGAAGGTGGGAGTGCCTAGTGCCTCAAATGCTCTGCTTTCTGACCTGAACAACAGTTACATGGGTTCGCTCGAGTTTTCTTTAGCCAAACTCGTGGGGGAGAGGTAGTATGCTTTATAAACTGTGCTTCCCAAACCAGATATACAGAAATTGTGAGCTAATAATATTTCATGTCAAATAAGATTTCTTTCATTTACAAACAGCAAATTCTACAGCTGCTCTTTAAAATTTTATAAACCAATATTCAGTTCCAATTAAACTGAGGGGTTCATCTGCCCCCGTCCTTTCTCAGAAGCTCATGCCTGTACAAATTAGGTAACCTTTTCCATGTTGAAGTGCCTCCCAAAACCTAAAAATGCCAAAACAAACACAAATACTTTAGAGACGTATTTTTAGAGAACAAAATCATGTTACCAAGACTGCAGAGGGCTTTTGCGCTGACCTTCAGACATCAGTGCTTGACTGTCCAGTTTACAGTGTCCTCCAACTTCACCACCCTGAAGAAAATCTTCCTTGAATCTAGCGAATAAAAAAAAAAAAAAAAGAAGAAGTTGAGCTGGAAAAGTTTCTCATGACTCAAGTTGCTGGGTTGGAACTAATTTCTTAACAACTTTTTCTTTTTTTTTTTTTTTCTGGGGTTAATATTTTTTTTTTCTTAACAACTCTTTTAACCGATTAAAAAAAAAAGATTTATAGCTGGGCAGTGGTGGCGCAAGCCTTTAATCCCAGCGCTCGGGAGGCAGAGGCAGGCGGATCTCTGTGAGTTCGAGGCCAGCCTGGTCTACAAGAGCTAGTTCCAGGACAGCCTCCAAAGCCACAGAGAAACCCTGTCTCGAAAAAAACAAACAAGCAAACAAACAAGAAAGATTTATTTATTTTTATTTCATGTATATGGATGTTTCGCCTGCATACATGTCTGTGTACCTCATGCATGTATGATGCCCATGGAGGCCTGAAGAGGGCCATCATATGCCCTGGAACTAGAGTTAGAGGCGGTGTGAACCACCCAGCATGGGTGCTGGGAATCAAACCCAGACCTTCTGCAAGAACAGCTAATGCTCTTAAGAGCTGAGCCATCTCTCCAGCCACTGGATTTATTTTATTTTGAGACAGAGTGTCCTTGTAACCCAGGGTAACCTTAAACTCATTATGTAGCCAGAGAGACCATGAACTTCTTGACCCTCCTGCCTCCACCTTTTGAATGCTAGGATTGCAAGCGTGTGTCGCCATGTCTGGTGCATGCAGTACAAGCACACCACCAACAGAGCCACTTCCCCATACCCCTCTTTGGACTGTAACTTATAAGCATGTGCTGCATAATTGACTTTATATATACACTACAAGGAGCCCAATATACCCACGACCCAAGTTGGCAGTGTGATCGTCAGGGTAAAGGGCCTGGGTCACCCATTCCTGACCTATTCCCTAACCCTACAACCATTTTACTACAAAACAAACCCAAGACATAGCCCTGCACCTGGGAGTATGTCAGAATGCCTTCAGCCTTACCCATGACCACACCACATAAGTAAGTACCTGTCAGGGCTCCTCTTGACGTTTCTTAAGTCCAGGTACAGACCAGTAGCTCTGCAATACTGAAGGTACCGGGAACAAACCAGACTTGAGTCGCTCTGAAATATGATTGAGATGAGGAGAACAGTTAGCTGGGAACAGGATTAGCACTGTGAGGCCTCACTGTGCTGCTGCCCATGCTGACAGCGCTGTGTGTGACTTCACTGCAGAAGGAGCTCTCCACTGCTTCTGCAGTGTTTTTTTCCTTTCCACCATCCAGTCAAGGGTACATCTGTATATCTCCATATGTTTATCTTACTATGACAATTTCCCAAATGCCCTTGTTTATTACTTCGTATGTACCTATATATTATATGTGTCTAGGGATACATGCACATATATAATGTATGTGTACGTATATATGTACACGTGTATGTGTATATATTAAAAACAGGCTCTCACTCTATAGCTCAGGTTAGCCTTAGACTCAGGATCTTCCTCCTGCTTCGGCCCCCAAGTCCTGGGAACACAGACAAATGTTACCACACGCTGCTTCATTCAAAAAACTTTTAAATTACATTTGTTTATGTAATTTATGCATGTGTGCACTTGCCTCTGTACACACGTGGAGGCAAGAAGACAACTTGCAGGAGTCCATTTTTTCCTTCTGCCATACGGACACCAGGGACTGAACTCAGGGTGTCAGGCTTGGAAGCAAGGACCTGTACCTGTGGAGCTACCTCATCAACCCTCAAGTTTTAAAGTTTTAAAGAACTACATATGTGATTCACTTCAGTCCCTCCACCCCATCCCCACCCCCAAAAAAAGAACAATCCCCCAGAACTATTTCTACCCCTAAGTACTAAAAAAAAAGCCCTTTTCTAGGGAGGAGCCAAAAGGAAACAAGGAAGCTGTACATATACGAGACAAGTGCAAGTCTGGGCAGGCATTTTGCCAATTTGAATGAGAGGCACTTCTGCAAACCGTCTCATAAGTGCTGGGGACTCTGTCAAAAGCAAGGAAAGGGTAAGCTGTTCTAACTAAATGAAAAGTCAACAGCCACAGCCTGTCTCTCCTTCAACCAAGTTAGTATGTGTTAAAAGAGACGATGCTTCAAGAACTTCTGCTCTGGGTTTTAAATAGGGATGAAATGCCACTTAATTGTTTTCCTTAAAATTTCCAGTGAAAGGGGGGCCTGAAGCTTGCCCTGTTTAGTGTTTGTGAATCTAGTTGGTAAGAGGTCACAAAGGAACTGAATGCTTGCATCCCTGGGAAGTTCATATTGAAATCTAACTCTTGCATGGTGGGATGGCTCGAGAGGCAAAGGGCCTTGCAGCCAAAGCCTGATGACCTGAGCTGTTCCCCTAGAGAAAGAAAGAGCAAATCACCATGGCAGAAGTAGAGAACCAACTTCTGCAGGATGTCTCCCAACCACCACATTCCGAGAACACGCACGCTAAATAAATAAATAAATAAACAAATAAATAAATAAATAAATGTGAAGCTAAATCAATCATCAGTCACACTGCCGTGGCGGTAGTAGGTAATAGAGCTCTTGCAGATTATGGGGTGAGGTCTTCACAAATATTTGTAGCTGCTCTGATTTGAATATGAAATGTCCCCCACAGAATGGGTGCTTGAACCCCTGGTTGCTGTTTGGAGAAATTGTGGAACCTCTAGGAGATGAAGACTTGCTGGGGGATTGGGTCACTGGGAACACACCTGGAAACTTGAGAGCCCTGTCCACTTCCCCTCTGCTTCCTGAAAGCTGATGTGATGTGATCAGGTAGGTGCCTCTTGCTCCTGTGCCCAGGCCTTCCCAGCCGTGACGGACTGGATCTCCTCACACTGTGAGCCAGAGTAAACTGACTTGCTTTCTGTCAGTTACCTTGGTTACAGCAACAGGAAGGATCACTAGAGGGTTCTTCTAAAGGAGACCAGAGAGAGTGCCCTTCCCCTTCCCATCTCATAGTGACCCAAGGACAGGCAGCTTTCTGTAGTCTGGAAGAGGGCTGATGCCTTGATCTTGGGTCTCCACTCTTTGTCATAGCATCCCAAAGAACTAAAGAAAGGGGTCACCAGCTGACAGCACAGTACACACCAGCGCAAAGTGACGTCCAAGAAAGCTCTGCACAAGCCACCGTGAGACAACCCTGAAGGTGGAGTCATACCTCCTCCCTTGGCTTTCCCATATGAGCAGCCAGACTGAAGCCAAACATGCCAATACAAAATGTCTATTATAGGTCCCTGTGTCTATGACTCCCAATTATAGCCTTCATTCCCTTTGGTACAACTGACAAAAGCTCTGAAGATGACATCCTCCAATAGAGCATATGTTCAGTTTTAGTGTGTGTATGTATGTGTTCATGTGTGTAGGTCATGGTCCCTCACACACACTTACAGAGAGGTCAGAAGAGGACACAACATGTCCTGCACTATTATTACTCTATACCTTTGAGACAGGGCTCTCACTAAACCTGGAGTGAGGCTGGCATCCAACAAGCTCCCAACATTCCTCTTGTCTCTGCACCCCACAGTGCTAGGGTTAGAGACATATACATGGCCATATCCAGGTTATTTTTCCTGGATGCTGGGGATTACAATTCAGGTCCTCAGCCAGAACCTGTGCTGAGACTTCTTACATATAAAAGTTCACTTTAGGGGCTGGAGAGATGGCTCAGAGGTTAAGAGCATTGACTGCTCTTCCAGAGGTCCTGAGTTCAATTCCCAGTAACCACAAGCTGGCTCACAACCACCCATTATGAGATCTGGTGCCCTCTTCTGGTGTGCAGATATACATGGAAGCAGAATGTTGTACATATAAATAAATAAGATCTTTAAAAAAAAAAAAAAAGTTCACTTTTTCCCCACTGCATGCTGCAAAGTTAGCACGGCTTTAAGGCCGAAGGATAAACTTCTATTTCAGGTTGAGGATCTTGCCCAGGAGTCAGGATCTGAACTCTGTAGTCAAAGACCTATTTTCATATCTACTACTTAAAACTACTCCCTGGCTGTGCTGAGTGCGACATGGATTGATGAGAAGCACACACAAACACACATAGACACACACCCACACCCCCCACACACACACACAGATGTGCTTTTCAGTTCTAAGTGTAATAATTGTGCAATTCTATAAGATTGCTGTGTAGCTTTGGAGAAGTTGTTTACCTTCTCTGAAGGCCCTGTTTGTCATCCTAGAAAAGTGACCTAAGTCTATCTGCCCTGGTATAATAACTACGCCGGTCAAATTGAAATACACACAAGACCGAACCAATACAGATCAGTAATGGTGCAGTCTTGGAGCCTGCCCCAAACAACTGACAAATAATCTGTAAAGATGAGATTTGTCAAGTTTTCTTCTTTGGTGCATGTGGGGGGTGGGTGGGGGAGGGTCTAAGTCTAAAAATATTTTAATTGCCTCAAAATACAGCTATCTGATACAGACATGAAGAGAAGGGAGGGCCTTTTAGTGGAAACAAAGTGACCTATTTGGGAGCATTGAACACAACTCTGAGCTGGGTGTGGTGGTGCCATCGCCATCCTTCCAGGGATGAAGACACCCATTCTCTTCTTGTGCCTCTCAGATGACTGAAACAATGGTCCCCAAGGAACTGGAATTTCCTCAGGAATTTCATGTGTTGAGAAGGAAAGGGCTGAAGCCTGGTGCCAGTAAAGGGGAGGGGGGAGGCATTGCGGGGGAAGAGAGGGTGGGAAGAAAGTGGTAAGGGAAGGGGGGGAGAAGGGTAGAGAGAAAGAGGGTTGGGGTGGAAGGGGGTGGGGCAGGGGCAGTAACTGTCTCCTAGAAAGAGATTTCAGACTTGTCAGACCACCCTGCAAGAAAGACTGAGACCAACACAATAATGGGTCAGTGACGGGCAGGACCACACTGTTACTGGGACTGCTTTGTGACACATACCTATTGCCCTCTGCTTAAACCTCAAGCTCGAGTACTACCCTGAGGATGGGCTCTGTGTGTGTGTGTGTGTGTGTGTGTGTGTGTGTGTGTGTGGTGTAGGGTGTTACTGAGTCACTAAACTACTTTATCTCCCCTCCTTTCTCAATGTAACCACACAGAATAAATCTCCTCTCTCTACTCTTTACTGGTCCTTGTCTGCTTTTGTTCTATGACAATGAGTAGAATGAGTCTAGCTTGGTAGGGCTGTTCAGGGCCCAGGCTTTGACTGTAACAAGTCTACCTCTAGTTTCCACCTGTAAGTCCAGTACCAAGGATGAACCAGAAAGACTGTGGGTCTGGGGGCCAGCCTGGGTTATACAGAGAAGCTATATTATTGGGTCATCTTGTTTTTACATTACAAGCTAAACAATAAAACACACAACAGTAAAACTAAGCAGGCTTACTCAAGCAGCCGGACACTCACTGTTCTCTCTGGCTGGCAGAGTGTGCGAGTCTCCTCCAGCCGCTCTCGGGCATATCCAAAGTCAGCTTGCTTCCAGAACATGTCCGCAGCTGACTCCAGAGTGTCTGTCCTATTTACGAAGGAAGAGATTTTATGACTTTCCCCCCCTTTTTATTTAAGCTTTATTTTATGTGCATTAGCATTTTGCCTGTATGTATGTATGTATTATGTATGTATGTATGTATGTATGTATGTATGTATGTATGTATGTGCCCCCATGTCCATACCTGGTGGAACAGAGGTCAGAAGAAGGCATCAGATCCCCTGAAACTGGAGTTAAGGATGGCTGTGAACCCCATGTGGGTGCTGGGAACTGAACCCAGGACCTCTACAAAGAGCAACAAGTGCTCTTAACTGCTAAGTCAACTTCTACCCCTATCCCCCACCCCCACCCCCACCTACTTTCTTTTTTCTGGCTTTGGATTTTCTTTCTATCATTTGAGAAGTCTATTCATACCTTATTTTTTAAAGTATGCCATCACAGTTCCCCCCAAAATTATCACTAGGTACATAAAGATACCAAACAAGTTATTCACATACTATTCCTTTATAATAAAAAGGTACAACAGAAACCTATGAAGTTAGGGTTGTCTGGAACTGAAGAAAAGAAAGTGCTATTTACCATGTTGTCTTTACCCAACTAATTATCCATGTACTCAGACTTACTAATTATATTTGGCTCCCCCTTGAGCACAGATAGCTATTCTTTCAGAATCTATAAAAAATTATCTTTTGGCATATACAGGGAGGGGGGTTCTATAGTCAATGTAGTTTCTCCCTCTGACAGAATAACTGTGAGATGGTTTGAGTTCATAACCTGGATAGGTAAATTAACATCTTCAGGAATTACTATGCACCAAAGAGTCTAGCTGGGACTTGGGGCTTCAAAGAACACAGACTTGGACGGGAAGAGGGGATCCCAGGAGACTTACCATCCCACGTCGACATAGCTGCAAACAGGGTAGCCAAATCGAAACTCTGGTTTGCAGGATTTCTCATAGCCCCAGCAGTAGTTTAGATTTTCTAGATGTTTCTAGAATATGAAATGAGTACCTTTAGAATTGTCTCCCAGCTTCTGATGGTTAGAGGAGACTCTCAGACCTTTCTTGACAGAACTTTCACATTTACATTCTGAGATGGGCAGGCTCCACAGTTGTCCTTGCTCACTCCTCCAAGACTGCTCCATAACCAAAGCCCAGGCTCTAGTTAGACTACCAAAGACATTCTGGATTAGGATTTCCTGAGGTTTCTTAAGGGACTGTCTCCTGTCTTTCCCAGAAAGCAAACTGATTCTATAATCAGTCACAAGAAGGAGGAAGAAGCAAAAAAAAAAAAAAAAAAAAAAAAAAACAACAACAACAACAAAAAAAAAAACACACATCCTTTGGAATTTCTGTTACTAAAAGATTCTGTGAAAAGGATGGCACAGCAACTCCACTCATCAATCAAGCTCAGCAGAGACAGCACAAGGTCAGAGCTCTCCACGCCTGGAGGCCAGGGCTCTTCTGCAAGACCCAAGAGCCATACTGGTCAGACTCCATGTGCTTCCTGTGCCAGCACCATGGGAAAGGAAGTGTCTTACAATGCCTCGCTTTGATCTCCAGACATCCGTAATGGGCTCTGCTGGAGCACTTTCCAAGCTCCCAGCCTTACTTGTTTGGAGCCAAGGCTGAGGTGTGACTACTGAAATGAAGTGCTAAGAAGCCTCCTAAGTGCCCAAAGGAGGGGTGTGACATTCTTTACTTTGACAAAAGGGTCTTTTCTTCCTGAGATATCCTGCCCTTCAGTTTTCAGAATATGCAGTTTGCTTTAGCTGCCGGTTAATTTTCACAGGGGTTTTAATGCTAAATTTCCTTCTTGTGAGTGGGATACTGTTTTAAGCTCATTTTCCTCCCTTAGGAATATTACATGAAAGGAAACCAGCGATTGACTCATGGAGAAAGTTAAAAGAAAAAAAAAGAAGAAACAAAAAAAACAGCTTTAGCTATGAGTTATGAAATAGAATAACAAGGCAGCCTAAATTGCATCCTTTTATGAGCAAGAGCAAGGTAGGGGTGTGAGAAAACATATGTATGAAAATGCCATCATGAAGCATGTTGCTTTGCATGCTACCTCGCAAACTAACCTAAATATATAAAGATGTAGGTAAGGGAAACTCTAAAACTAGCCTGCTGAAGAGGAGCAAAATGAATGAGAAGAAATAAGACCTACCTTATATGGACAATGGGAATCCTCCTTGCAGACAGAGGCAATATGCCTGTTATTGTGCAAGAAGAAGGGAATGTGCCTCTCTGGGAGGCGGAGGCTGGAGTAGTCATACAGGGCTTCGCCTGGCACACTGTCAGCCTCAGAATGAGCCTCATCTTGGCCACTCAGTGGGACTTCATGAAGCAATACTCCAAAGGCAAGCAGCATTAACATAGCAACCTGCAGACCTAGAAATGCAATTGAAAACATCACAGCTAATGGTGACGGCAGTCACAGATGGCTGTGACTAAGAAAGCCTCTTTAGACAGGAGTGGTGGCTGACACAGTTAAGCCCAGCACATGAGCAGAGGCATATGGATCTCTGTGAGTTCAAAGCCAGCCAGGTCTATATCACCTTTTAGTTCATGAAGTCGGGAGGCTGTTGAAATTAGAAATTTATTGGACGCATGTGCGAAATTCACAAAGAATAAATTTAAAATAGTGCCTTGTTTAAAAATGTTTAAATTCCTCTTTAAGGGTGGGCATGTAGGTCAGTGGTAGAGTGCTTGCCTAGCATGCATGATACCCTGGATTTAATCTCCAGTTCCTCACAGAAAATAAATAAGTTAAGCACCAAATGGCTTTACTATGTCACCAAATGGTGTTTCTTTGTACACCAAATATTTATTGAGCACGTATATGCCAAGCACTGTGTTAGGAACAAGGTATACAAGCATGGGAAATCTATCCCATCCTAATTTGGCTCATTTCAGAGTTGATTATTCAGAGAGACCCCAAAATGCTGTTGTCTTATAAAAGAAATTTGCATCTGTGTACATTAGTGAACAGTGGATACAGACATAAGCCTCTCTTTACCACACATTCCCTTGAGTGCCCAGGAAAGAGGACTACAGATGGCTGTAATCTTGCAGCTCCAACCCTCCCTAGCCTGAACCATCTCCCATGCCACAGAAGCCTAGGCACCTGTATTCTGTCATTAAGGCTGTTGACAAGGCTCAGCCACCCTGCACCTCTCTGGGCCTCAACTTTATTAGGCACACAGTAACGTTTGTAAGTTTTTTATTTTTATTTTTCACCCTGTCAACTATGTATTGTCAGTTTCTCTCACAAGCTAACCATCATCAGATTTCAGAAGGAAAGAATTCATTTAAAAATCTCCCTATATGGATCTGAACAAAGTACTACCATTGTGGAAAATGGCAATGGTCAAGAATTTACTGGATTTCTGCGCCCCTACCCAGGGAAGGAAACATCTCTCAAGTCGGTTTTTCCTATCTATCCCTAACAAACTCACACCATTCTGCCCCCTTTACTGGCAGCAAGGCTTTTTTTTTTTTTTTTTTCTCTGCTACAGGATAACTGAGCACACCCTGGGTGTTCCACAGTTAAATGGAACCTTTACAAGGATATAAAAACCACACAACTTTCAAAATTAGCCTTCACTGACCATTACATATAAGCTGCTCTGTTCAAGTTCCAGGCCTCTGGAGTCGTAAAGGCTGAACAGTGTTGATCCTGGGAACAAGTCCTTTGCCAGTAACTAAAGGGATCTCTTACTTTGGGAGTCCTGCAGAGTATGTTGCTATCCCTTGTAAATCCAAATTAGGATTTTTAGTTGGAACTTTGATTTAACAGCGAATTACTAGCAATTTCATAAAATCTACAAATTCATATTGATAGAAACAATAACTTACTTAATAATGAAAATACTTAACTCTTTAATCCTCGGAATCACCCAGAAGCTGTTGATGTTTTGGATTGCTTGAAACCTAAAAGAAATGAAGCTCATTACCTTAAAAGCATGCCACATGACACCTTATTCAACTGCTATTTTAATGTAAAGGAACAACTAAGAGGGAAAATAATTTCACCAGAAAACCCCTAGCCAGAGGCCCTGGTTCAGGATGCTCAATCTTCCTTATTGAATGAATCCCAAATCTCTCAAAAAGTCCCCGACGGTCACTGGGGCCCTGGACAGAGCAGACAGAGGCTAGTGGTAAGCAGGAAGAAGGTAACACACCCCACACCGACATCACTCAGAACAGAACAACTGGATAATTAGCAGAGAAAACATTCCCAGGACCAGTCTGTTCCCGGTTCTCACTGCAGTAATCCTGCTCTCTGATTCCCAGGGCTACCTGGGCCAGGGCCAACCTCAGGATCACAGCAGGCCACCCAGTCCTTGGACTCACCCTTTTGCTCATAAAGTCACGGCTATGACTAAGTCCTGAATTTCGGTTATCCAAACCCACTGCCCAGCAATGAGTTCCACCAGTTAACTAAACTCAGCCATTCGTGGGAGAAAAGCAACCCTTGGCCCCTGGGGAAAATCTAAAGAGGCAGATCAGACAGTTGGCTTTTTGCAAGGGAAGGCACGTACCCACTTGCATGTGCTGGGTGATGGTGGCTGTGGAGCATGAAAGTACAACCTGAGGGCCTGGCAGAAAGCCTCCTGGAGTTCAATCCTCTCGCAAGACTTGGCAGGGATGGGTGGATGCCCAATTGCAACAAATGGAAGCTTTAGTTGGTGAGGCTATTGCGTCCTTTGCACAAAACGGCCAAGCACGCTTCACTCGTGTATGGCTTGATTGGATTTCCACAGGCCTAAAAAGAGAAGAGGAAAAAGATAAAAATCAGAAACGCCGTGAGAGACCTGGGGTTACCAGGGATGACCACAGAGTGGATTTGGACAATGCTCGGCAACAGCCTGCAGTGGTCAGATCGAAAGTTAAGTGCACCTGGGGCTTAAAGACTAAAGTCCCAAGGTAGGTGAGCAGTCAGTGCTCAGGACTTGGCTGCCTGAGACGCCGCCGAGGTGGTTATCTCCGGGCTGTCTGCGGAAAGTCAACCCCTCCCTGGTGTGGAGGAATCAGCCTCTCCCGCCCGGCAACAGCCAACCCTGGCCCGGGCTGCTTGGGGCCTGAGCTGTCCAGGCAGGCGCTCGGATTCCAGGTGTGCGGGGAAGATCTGGAGAGTGACTCCGCCCCAGCTTGGGGATCTGGGGAAGAGGGCAGGCCTGGCCAGGCATCGCCCTTGCCCGCGGCCACCAGCAGCCTCCGGGGGACGAGCTGAAGGCCGAGGACTCGTATCGAAGCCCCAGTATCCGGCTGCGGGCCCGCGGGGGTGCAGGCGCGGGCGGGGAGCAGGCGAGAACGACGCAGGGCCCACCTGCAGCTGGATTGTGGAGACGCCGCGGCTGCTCCGAAGCAGCAAGGCGTCACCGCCAGCGGCCGTGCACCGGAAACCTCGGGCGTCCAAGCCGGGCCAGGGGGCGCCCGGGAGCAGCCGCGACACCTTGGCCTGGGGCTCCAGGGCGGACCCGTGTGACCCGGGCCCCACCCGGAGGTCCGATTGTCTGGAGGACACCGTTGGCCACCCGTCAGCCAAGGTTAGCTTAGGCAGTCAAGACAGCCTAGGACCCGCAAACTAACCCATGTGGGACATCCGCCTAAATACCCGCCCCCATGCGGGACACTCGCCTACAAGCCCACCCTCACCCCCGGACGCGGGACACCTATTTCTATCTCTCCAAAAGTAGGACACCCTCCTGTATCTCCCCAAATGCGGGACACCTGGCTAGAAGTCCCTGGCGGCTCCTCCAGGCACTTGCAAGCCACCAGCACCAGAGTAGGAAGGTGGTCCATGGGGCTGTCACATGTCATTTAGGACTGCAATTTTTCTTTTTCATTCCAAGCAGAAGTTGCTGTCCTGATTCTTAAATGAGACTGAATGTAGGGTCACACTCTCCGCTGGATAGTGAAGATACTGCAGATTCCACGGGGTTTTTACTTATCCATGAACTGCCCAAGTTCAATGGCTACTCTGATTTTTGTGATTTTGCTATTTCATTATTTTTGTTCTGATTGTTTATGTGATCGTGCTTATTTGCATGTGCACTTCCCACTCTTCTCTGTTCTTGGTACCTTGCAGTTCCAGCATGCCTCTACCAGCTCCAGAAGGCCTGCCATGTGGGTACTAGGACTTGAACTCAACCAATTGTGCTCTTAACTAAGCATGATGGTTTTTACTTTGCTTTGGTAAAAGCAACTGAACCCACGCAGGGCCTTGTCCATTTTATTTACCACAGCAGAGAATTTAGAAAACTTTTTTTTTTTATTTGCCGCCAACCTGTTTTTGTTATGTCAGGAAAGAGGATCTCTGTGAGTTCGAGACCAGCCTGGTCTACAAGCTAGTTCCAGGACAGCCTCCAAAGCCACAGAGAAACCCTGTCTCAAAAGCAAAACCAAAACAACAAAAAAACAGACTCCATGTTATGTCAGGAAATACAATTGTTCTGTGAGTCGATGCAAAACAAATGAGTGTAGTAATCAAACTGGCATGCCATCTACCTGGTGCTCATCATATTGAGCAGTCACTGAGATTTGTAGGAAACAAATTAAAGGATTTAGAGATTGAGTTCTATATTACTGTATTTTGCCATTCCCAATTTCCTCAAAATATAAGATTTTAATTTTTGACTCTCTTCAAACTGGTATTAATATAAACTCAAATGCCACCAACATAAAATTGAGTGACTAAACTAGTTGTGCTGTGTTAGCTTCCAGTTACTGTAACAAACCCCAAACAATAAAATTGTAAGATTGTTTTTTTTCAGGTCAAGTGTTAGTTCATGAACCACAAAGATGGTTCAGTGTACTTGCTGAATGATGGAGAGAACCAAATACAGAAATAAGCAAGTGCCAAAAAGGAATTCATGATGTCTCTGTACACTATATATCATTGTGTGGAAAAGGATACCCTCACTTAACTGAGAGGTACACACACACACACACACACACACACACACACACACACACACACACAGCGAATGCACACACACATGCACACAAATGTGCTATCTCACAGATTAGAGAATATTTGAAATGTTTACTAAAAGGAAGGAATATTGGTATATGAGGACAAGTGACTTTGGAACTATGCAGACAGTTACATTATAAAACAAAATTTAAAAAATATACAGCATTCCTTGAAAACTAAAATGAGCTTAAATTCTCTCCAGCTGCTTCATGTAACACAAAGGAAATACCTTAAACAACTTGTAAACACAATTTGTATCTCCTTAGTGGGAGCTATCTTCAAGACTGGAAGAACTAAAACAAAAACAAAATCAAAACAGAACTTAGATTGTTCTCAGCAGATGAGTGGTCAGTGATAACACTGGCACCGTGTGACATGCCAAGTTGAGCAGTTGTAGATGAGTGGTCAGTGGTAACACTGGCACTGTGTGACATGCCAAGCTGAAGCAGTTGTAGATGGGTGGTCAGTGATAACACTGGCACTGTGTGACATGCCAAGCTTAAGTAGTTGTAGCAGTAGCTCTGCTGCTGCTTGTCTCACCCCACTGGTCTATATACAAAAGAAGCACCTCTCTGAATTATATTAAAATGAAATACATCGGTAGACTTTCAAATCTTTATTTAAACCAGATCCATGCTTATTTACATTACCTTTCATTTGTAATTAAAATAATATCAGTCTATATTTTAAATCATATTTTTAGCCCTTTACAATATATGTAGCTGATTTTTTTTTTTAGTTCTAAACTGACCAAGGATAAGGAAAATTGGATCAGCTTTTTTGTAATGAAAATGAGAAAAGACCCCCTAGAATATACATGTATATAACACTAAACAAACAGTAGTAAAATAAGGCATTTACACTCATTCCTCACTAATCTGGAGGCTTTCTTTTAAATATTACACATAATGTACTTTTAATAACCATTCAAATAAAACTTCCAATTAATTAAATAATTGAGGGATGAAGGAAAATACTTCCTGAACATTCTTTTCATTTAATTAACCATAAAAACTGAAATTCAGGCAGGTGGTGGTGGCACATGCCTTTACTCTCAGCACTCGGAAGGCAGAGGTAGAAGGATCTCTATGTATTAGAAGCCAGCCTGGTCTACAGAGCAAGTGCCAGGACAGGTTCCAAAGATACAGTGAGATCCTTCCTCAGAAAACAAAAACAAAACCAAAAAACCATACCATGTACTTGGTACATTCTACATGCTAAATGCTATACAGTGCTCCCAAAAGATGCCTAGCACAGCAGCTTCTCCAACCAGTCTCTAAGACCCACCAGCATCTGATACCAGCAGGTGCCCATGCCTCTTTCACTCTTAATTCAAAGTATCTTTGTTATTTCTCAAGAATGGAAGCATATAATTGCAAACTATTTTATGCACTAGAATATTCTACTAGCATATGAGTAGAGACTTTTCAATGATATACAAGCAAATAAATTTAATGAAAGAGTAGCCACCTACTGGTTTACAAGAAATTTAAACGGTTCCCCTTATCAACTTGAAGTGTATTGAAAGGTCTAAACATATACTAGTCAAATTAAAAGAAGCTTGAATATTAGCTATTAATTTGTAGATGAAGCAGACCACGTGACAGATATGAATGGTTGTGTATCATTTTGTAAATAAGTTGAAAACACTTTAAGATTTCAATTTTATTAATAAGGACCAAGAAAAATATTTAATGTTGATATTGTAATATTTGGAGTTTAATACAGGAGAATTTAATTTCCAAGTCTTTTCTCTGCCACATTTTTAAACTATTTGTTTAAAAAGTATTTTACATTTCCCAAACTACCAATTTCAAATGCTTGTCAAGAATTTTGCTGTCAGACTTATCATCCTGCCCCTGAATATTAAAAGCTGATTTGTTGTTGTTAATGTTTTTCTGTTGTTACTAGCTTTTTTGTTTTGTTTTGTTTTGTTTTTTGAGGCAGGATCTCACTGTGCAGCCTGGAACTCGATCTGTATACCAGGCTGGCCTTGAACTCACAGAGATCCACCTGCCTCTGCCACCCAAGTGCTGGGACTAAAGGCATGTGCCACCACCACCTGGCTTAAACATTTTAAAGCTGGAGAACAGTTAAGAGGAGTTCTACTACTACTAAAATATAGAAACTTAATTTTATGATGGTGACTTTCACCAACAGGACATTTATTCATGCTATAAGTCAGAGACAGAATGACAGCAGCACTGTGTGGACAGAACACAAGGAACAAAACAAGGTCACTTGAATCACCTCCCAAAATCTCCATTCTGCAAGATGGCTACTCACAGCTGTGTCCTGAAGTACTGTTTAAAATGTAACTAAAACTTAACTTTTATTTGAAATCCTATCTTCTCAATGTGGGGAGGGCAGTTTTAAGACCCTCACTGCATGCCTAAAACAGTGGAAGCTACCACCCAGCAAGATAGACTATCCAGAAAGATAGTCAACAGTCATCTTTACGTTAAAGGGAAGAACTTGTGGCTAACCTCTGACATCTTCACTTTGGGGTCAGTAAAGAACATGGTATCCACACGTATGACAGTAGACCCAATAGCTGACATGACTCAATGACTAACACGGGGTGTAAGTTAAAAAAAGTAACATTTTGAAGAGGGCATAACTATGTTTTAAAGCCATTCTATACAACTTTTTGTTATTTTTTGCTTGTTGAGGCTTAAGAAGAAAATGTTGAACTCGCAAAATTATAAAATCTCCAATTTAAATGTACCCCTGTAACTTTTCTGTTTTGTTATGGAGATTCTGTCAAGACATTCATTTTTAATGCCCCCAAATACAACTGTATAAACTTAAACAAGTAGTTTTTAAAAAGTAAATTGACTAATTTTTAAGAGTAAATTTTGTCAATGATTTATTATGTTAGATTCATTTCACAATGTAGTAAAATATGTCAAAATTGCTTGCTACTGATGCTATCAGAATTTATTGAAAGCAAAATTTCCCACTTTTCAATTATGCCTAGCTAATATCGAATGTTTATAGCTTTCCTTGGATAAGTACCAAAAAAGGATCCACATTTGTTCACACTTTATTGTGAAAGCCACATGGAATAAAATTTCAAAACAGAAATATTTTTTAAGCTTAAATTATATTTTAAATTTTAGACATGTCAGTGTGACTTCTGCTTTTAAAGGAAAATCTTAGTTTATAATTTAGTAGTCACAAAAATGTAATAACCTTTATACTTGAATGCTGAAAACACTTTCAAGAAATAGTTGAAGATTTCAGTGTGAAAGATTTCAAAGTTTCAATGTTAACATTACTCTGTAAGTCTCTCAATATGTACAAACACATATAAATTATAGCTATAATACAATTAATTATATATTCACAATATGAAAACAGTAATCTCCTTTCCTAGCCATATTGCCATATGGATAAAATAATAAATCTCTGTGCTGTTCAAGGCACAAAACAAAACAAAACAAAAAACTGCTTTAGAAAAATTTAAAGAATAGCTTCAAAAATAAAATTCAAATATTGCACAAAATAATTTAACTGCAAATATAACTACATACTATAAAAGAATTTTTAAAAAAGTTTTTTACACTCTACAGCAAATCTCATTTTCTAACTCTACAAAAGAATTTATTGGAAGTCTGCATTTATATATTAAGTGTTTACATTCAGTTTGATGGGAATACAGATTTCAAAGTTAACTGAGCCTTTGTCTTAGAAGTTCATCTATTTGAGTTTTATACATATTTTTCACATCTTCAAGATCCAGGCGAAGTTCCTCTGCTTCCTCTGCCTTTTCTCCATACATCTGCAGAATAGTGTTATATCTTTGATCCAGATCCTAAAAAATATTTGTTTATAATCTTTTAATGACCATACAATCATCTACAGCTGTTACAAGTCAATAGAAAAAGCATCATGAGTTGAACAAAAATATTAATTCTAAAAACATTAAACTTACCTTTTAAAAAATTCAACTTATACCCAATCTATCTAGGAATACAGAGCCAAAAGAGGAACTTCGTTGGAAACGGTCATGGAGGGCTGAGGAGACAGCTCAGTGGGTCAGAGCACTCACTGAGCAAGCATAAGGACCTCACTTCCAACTCCCAACATTCACATAAAAAGCTACACAGCCTATTACCCCAGATCTGGGAAGAGGCTCACTGGAGCTGGTGGCGGCCAGTCAGCCAGCCTACCCAAAAAACAGCAATCTCCAGGCTCAATGAGATTCTTGTCTGAAGGGACTAGCAGGATGGAGAGTGATAAAGCAGGAACCCTCTTATTCTTATGGCCTCCTAGCATACATCCCATATAGGCAAACATGTAAACACACACACACACACACACACACACACACACCCCAACCATTTTTCTCCACTAAATCTATAATTCTCTCCAAATATGACTTAATTAGCCTCCTTCCCATTAATTTAAGTACCTTGATGAGATTTTTGTCTTCGTGACTAATTTAAGTATTGCTTGGCATTTATCCCACAAGACAAGTGTTTGCCCTAACATTTTTATGTCACAATATTATGATGAAACAAACACTGGGTCAAATATTACAAAGCATGCAATATACATGTTTGCCTAAATAACTATTGTCCAAATAAAATCTTGTTCTCTTTGATTAGTACTAAACATTTTGTGAAAATACTAGATATGTAAGAACACAAGCAATCAAGACTCATCTTTAACATTCTTTATTCAACTACTGACTCCTTAATTTTCAGAGAAATTACTAAGTCATACATATGCATTTTATATAAACTAAAAACATGATATTTAATAACTGGATTAAAATATCTTAGATATATCATTAAGTGAAGAATACTTACTCGGAGTTGAACTCGAAGCTTGGGTATCTCTTTCACTTTCTCCTCCAGTTCATCATTTTGATTTGTTAATTTAACTAGCTCTTCAGACATTATGGATCGAGTTTTTTCTAGATTGCTAATTTCTAGCTGAGAAACATAAGCACCAAATGGTTTCAATAAAAATATATCTTGTTTAATACCCTCACTAACAAAAACATTTAGTGTACCACTTTTTTTTTAAGATTTTATTTATTTATTATGTCTTCTGCCTGTGTGCCAGCAGAGGGCACCAGATCTCATTCAAGGGGGTTGTGGGCCACCCTGTGGTTGCTGGGAATTGAACTCAGGACCACTGGAAGAACAGTCAGTGCTCTTAACCGCTGAGCCATCTCTCCAGCCCCTAGAGTATCATTTTTGAAGAAAAACATGTCAACATATAATGCTGAGTAGTGGGGAGAAAGGGCCCCAACTTTTTTAGAAGTTATTTATAGGGTTCACTATGCAAGAAAGAAGTGAAGAAATTACAATGTCTGAAAAATGCAACCACATTTTTCTCTAATCTAAGAAAACAACACACATTTCCATTATTCTAAGTTACTAGAAAAAGGCAACAGAATGAAAACATATTTTAATGCTGTCCCTCCCAACAATGTAGGTTGTGTCACTAAGAGCTTTCACCACTACCCAAGAAACTAAGCAGGACTCTCAAGGACAGCACTCTGGGCTATACCCATCAGTACACATCAACCCCCTGCATAATTATTCAAATGAGAATAGGAAGAGTTATTCATTTTGAGTGTGTAAGTTTAACATCAAAAGCTAAAAAAAATACTGATTCTTAGTCCATAAGCAATAATTATTACAGCTCCCTCCTATTGTTGTTTCTTTTATGTGTAGGTCTCTTTTATTTGACTCATTCCTTGCAGTGAGGAACTTAAGAGAGATGTTTCCTGTGGCATATGGGAAAAATAAAGCAAGCACGCTGGTTTAGCACCTCCTTTTTTCTCGTTGTAAAAAGATACTGGGAAGGAGTGGGCTATCACTGCTCTCAGATGTCCCTAGGTCCTCTCTGGGCAGGCCATGGCACCCAGCATTTCCTAAGACAGCAGAAAAATCTGCCTAATTCTGGCAGTCAGTTAGTTAGGAGGCTCATTTGGTTCTAGCTTGTATCATTTCTATATGTGATACACTTGGGTTTTATATGTCAACAATTCATCTTATTTTCCAGTGTGCTCAGAATTCAAGTGGAAATGAAGGCTACTATTTACTAGGACACAATATCTCATAGGCATCTACAACATACTTAATTTTTTCCAATACCTGTAAATGACTAATTTCTCCTTCCCTCAGCTTTAGTTGAGACTGCAGATTTTCAATAATGCTCGATCCTGCTCCCATCCTTACAGCTTCATAAAGATTGCTTCCACTGGCTGATGTAGACATTGGCCCAAATGAATGGTCATGAGACTCATCCTATTCCGTTAAAGAACACACACAGACAATTATCATGTTATATCACATTATCAAGTTCAAACAAAGATCCTATTAATTCTGGTTTTGAAATGTCTGAGTTTCTCAAAAGCAGAAAACCATCTGCATTTCTTTACTTCAATTAGCACGACATTCTGATAAATTCCTCTAACAAGGTCATGGTGCAGCCTGACACTGCACGTTCCCTTACCAAGGGAACTCAAGGTAAGAACTAAGCACATGTAAGAAATAAGCCATTACCTGAGACAGGAAAGATGTCTGTAGCCCTGCTGTATCTACTCCACTTATAGAACTTGAACGTGAAATGGTGGGAGTACTAGAAACAGAAAACTGTCTGTGGTCCTTAGGGAGAAAAAAATAAATCTTTAAGACTGAGAATCGAAAAATAAGGGAAGCAAAAAATTTTTCTAGAATTAATGAAAACAAAGATATTAAATTTCTCCATAAAATGTTATAAATACAATTTCTCAAAGGTAAGTCTTAGAAGTATAAAAAGTGCCTCACCCTCCCTGGGGAGCAGAAAGAGGATGGAATAGGGGTGTCAGTGGGGAGGAGGGGATGAGGGGAGGGAGACAGAATTGGAATTGACATATAAAATAAGCTTGTTTCTAATTTAAATAAAAAAGAAAAAGAAGTATTAAAAGCATTTAAAAATTAAGGGCTGAGCTGGCAAGATGGTTAAGCAGGGAAAGATGCTTGCTACCACGCCTGACCTGAGTTCCATCCTAGGACTCACACAGTAATAAGACAGAAACAACTCTAGCATGTTATTTTTTCTGACCTCCCCACATACATCACGGGATTCGAGAACACACACACACACTAAACTACTCATAATAAAAAAAAATTAATTAAAATTAAAAGCCTGCATTGTTGCATTTATAACACAATTAGCCAGGTTTACTTTTTTTAAGGAAATGAGAAAGCTTTGGTTGAAATGCCTGCAGAAGCTAACTACTATGTAACATATTGTCAATTACTTTCAAACTTGCTGAAATTTCTGACTTACCCATTTTATTTGTGTACTAAAAACAAAAATAACAAAATACTTGGGGGCTGCAGAGATGGCTCAGCAGTTATGAGCCTTGGCTCAATTCCAAGTAGGAACATAGTGACTCACAACTCCTGTAACTTGTTTCAGGGAATCTGACACCCTCTCATGGCTTCCAAGGACCACTGCATGCATGGGTACACAGATATACGTGCAGACAAACATCCATACAAATGAAATAAAACTAAAATTAAAAAAACCCAAATACATTTAAAAGGTAATTTTCATTTTTGTGTACTATTTTAACATATTATGCTAACTTTCAGTATGCTACAATACTTCAAGTATAGGAAACACATTTTATAAAAATTACCTTTAGGAGCAAAGGAGGTGGCTTAGTGAATAAAGCATGGAGACCACAGTTCAGATCCCTAGAACCCAAAGAAAAGCCAGGCAAGTGTGGTGGCTGCCTCTAATCCCAGCACTCAGGAGGCAGAGACAGGATTCCTGAGGCAAGCTTAGCTAGTTAGACTAGGCACAATCAGCTAGCTCCAGGTTCAGCAAGAGACTTGCCTCAATAAAACAAAGTAGAGAATAATCAAGGAAAACACCCAGTGTCAACTTTGGGCCTCCACATGCATGTGGACACAGATGCACCTGCACATATGCATATACATATTCATGCTCACCAGACACATACACATGCAAAAAAAGATTAAAAAATAAAAAAAAAAACAAAAAACAAAGCAGCCTCACTACATTTACTAGTCACAAAGAGAACAAGCCAATTCTATTCTGAAGTTGCCTATGGGCCATTTACTACATTAGTTTCAGTGAGAAATCACAAAATTCATTTGAAAGTGTAAAAAGTATCTATAATTCAAAGCCAATCACAGACCAATGTGAATGCACTCAAATGACTTCAGATCTGTTCTACATGGAACACTGACAATGCTACCACAACTTACCAGTATAGTAATTTTAGACATCGGGTTTGGGGGAAGGGAGGGAAGTAGACAGCAGAAAACACACACACTGACACAGACTTAACATATTAGCACAACTAAACCACAGAACAATCCATGGTCACCCCAACAGTTTAGGTACACAAATCAATTCAAAACAATATAATTCAGTACCTTTTCTTTTATTGCTTCTTGAGTGAAAATGGCTTTCTTCCTTTCTTGTTCAACTTTCATTTTCTCCATTTCTAACTGACTGCACAACAGTGTCTAATGGAGAGAGATATAGTTACATAGTTTTTGAGACACTAGCTCATGGCACCATAATGAGTCAACTGCAAAGCTCAGAGTGTAAAGACAAGCTGCCATTTCACCAAAGACAAGGTTCCATATCACCCATCTTATCTCCTCAGCAGTTTGCTGCCATCCCCATCCATCTCTATGCAAGCCCTTGGGGAATGAATACAATGAGAAATACCTTTTCTTTCCTTGTCTCTTCAAGTGTTCTTACATAGTCATCTTTTAGGTTTTCTAATTCAACCTGGTACCTAGTAAACCAGAGGGAATTAAAACAAAGAAGGTGACGGTACAGTACAGACTATTAAAAACTCTCCACTTGTAAAACTCCAGTTACATATTTAGCAGTCATTTTATCAGCAGCTCAGCATCAAAGACTTTCCAACTGACTGACCCAGGTCACTGAGACTTCACTCTATCAGTTAAAGCTCAAGTGAAAAGTTCTGCTTTTTCCCCCGTTTTCTTTTTTTTCTGTTTACCAGTACTCTGAGATTTAAAATGAGACATTTAAACAGTAATTTGAAGATCCACCATTCCAAGTTCAAATGTGGCAAAAAAAAAAAAAAAAAAGCAGGGTTTCTAAGAAATGCTTATAGAAGTCCAGACACTTCATTGTTACTTAACTAACTGCTTTCTTGGGTTTGTTGTTGTTTTGGTTTGGTTTTTTAAGACAGGGCTTCTCTGTGGCTTTGGAGGCTGTCGTGGAACTAGCTCTTGTAGACCAGGCTGGTCTCAAACTCACAGAGATCCGACAGCCTCTGCCTCCCAAGTGCTGGGATTAAAGGCATGCACCACTATTGCCCGGCAACTAACTACTTTCTTAACAGTAAATTTTCTTTGGAAGTCAAGGGTGAAAACACTCATTATAACCTTATGTAATTTCAGATGAATGATTTTATATCATGTGACTTCAGACTGCTATAAAAACAATTTCCATGGACAGTCACAATTCGTTCCCTCCTTCCTTCCTTTCAGCTGGTGCCATTAGAGTTTAAAACACACACACACACACACACACACACACACACACACACACAAATGGGACAAATACTTTCTCTTGAAAAAATATAAATACATATAGAACATAGCATATCACTTCAAAAGAAGTGCAATGGATCCTAGCACTAGTTTAATGCATGTCATTAATGACCCTGACTTTAAATACTGCAAGGTATTCACTTTTAGTTCTCAATGCAATGAAGCCAAAACCCAACAAACATACTTTCTGACAGTGATTTAAAATGCCATGGAACCACAGAGAATGCCACATAAATATACTCACCGATTATTTTCATCTTCCAGTTTTCTTAGTTTATTTTTCTCTGACTCTAGCTGGGCCTGAAGTCTACTGTTTTCCTGTCGTAAGAGGGCATTCTGTGACTCCACCGAAGACATCTGGATTTTGTTGGCCAGGAGTTCTTCTGTAGCTGCTCGTTCTCTTTCAACTGCTGCAGCCAACAAAGTCTGTGACTCACCTAATTATGGAGGAAGAAAAGTCATTCACACATAAGCCAGGGAAAGACTGGACACCAGGCTGGTTCTGACTTCAAACTTCTAATGATTCAAATTTGCAGACTAAGACAGGACTACCAACCGAGATCAGCAAGCCAACATTAGTTAGTGCGCAAGTTACATTTTTACCTCAGAGTGTAACAGGATAGCGAATCAACAAATGAGCAACCCAATATTCACAGAAAAGGTGCAAAATATCCTATGTGAAAATTAAGTCAAAATGAGACTCCAAAGAAAATCTTCAAAATCTTGGATCAGGTAAAGATTTCTTTGGCTTGACACCAAAAACATGAGCTCAGAAAGGCAGATCAATAAAATGGAGTACGTTGAAATGTTAAACTTTTGCTGTAGGTTAAGAGGATGAAAGGACAAACAGGCTAGGGATGTAGCTTAGCTGGTTGTTTACATGCATAACATGCATGAGGCCATGGATTCATCCCCAGCACTGCATAAGCCAAGGGTGGTGGTACACATCCATAATCCCAAGACTCAGTGATAAAGACAGGAGAATCAGGAGTTCAAGGCTATCCTTGGCTACCTAGAGAGTTTGAGGTCAGCCTGGGCTATATGAGACCCTGTCTTTATTCAATTTTAAATAAAAAGACAGGGCAAGCTACAAACTGGAAGAAAATAAATGTAAGTTACACATGTAGGTTTAGTGCTTAGAATATAAATAGAACTCTCAAAAGTGAAAAATATATACACTTGAGTAAAAAAAAATATATAAGCAAAAACCTATGAACAGATAGTTCATTTTGAAGGTGGGTAAGTGGAAAATAAACACACAAAATGATGCTCAACATCAGTTGTCACTAGGGAAATGAAAACTAAAATTACGAGATATAAGAATTTTTGAATGGGGCTGGAGAGATGGCTCAGAGGTTAAGAGCACCGACGGCTCTTCCAGAGGTCCTGAGTTCAATTCCCAGCAACCACATGTTGTGGCTCACAACCATCCATTATGAGATCTGTTGCCCTCCTCTGGTGTGCAGATATACATGGAAGCAAAATGTTGTAAACATAATAAATAAAATCTTTAAAAAAAAAAAAAGAATTTCCGAATGGTAAACAAATAAATAAATGACTTAATTAACAAACCAGGGACAACCCAAAAAGCTATCAAGGCTGTGACTCAACTTGATTACTCCCACTGGTGTAGCTACTGTGAAAACAGTTCAGCATTTTCTCTGAAGTTAAACAAGAATGTCCACATGGCCCAGTGACTGCGTATTTGGTCCTTCTTCCAGATACATTAAAATTTATACCCACACACACTCCTGAACAGGAACATTTACAACAGCTTTTTCCATAATAGTCAAAACCTGGAACCAGCCAAGATATCCTTCCCCAAGCCAGTGGTTAAACAAACTATAGAAACAGACATTCCAGAGACTATCAAAAGACAAAAGTTCAAAGCATTAATGACTTTTTAAAAACTTTTTTATTTATTTGTGTAGACTACAGGTCTATAAATAGTCTTCTCAGGCAATTTTAATGTCCCAAAGTTAAATTAACAGAACAGGGAAACTGCCCTGAACTGAACTCAACATTTTGGAGTGATAACTTCTATGTGCATTTCAGGAGGCCCTGTTTGCATTAGGGCAACCTGGAGGAACCCTAAACATATTTATTGAGCTTCTCTCTCAACAAAACAGCATCCCCAAAGGCTTCCAATGGTCCACTAAATACCACTTGAAAGCCAAGAATCTACTTTGCCACCCCATGACTGTCACTCAAAGACAGAATGTGGAGTAAAGTAAGTGACTTGCTGCTAAGTGAAAATACAAACACAATACTACACCAACCCTTATCTCCTGACCTTCACTCCTATGCTTTGTCACTAGAGCATGGTATCTCCTGTGGTGACACTTATTTATGATTTTAAAAAGCTTACCTGAGGGTTCAGAATGCAAAGCTAACCACAGCCATAAAGGTCAGGCAGTGGTGATATATACCTTTAATCCCAGGAGCCATATTAGCTAGCCATAGAGCTAGGGGTGGTAGCATACACCTTTAATCCCAGGACTCAGCAGACAGGCAGATAGGTCTCGTTAGTTCAAGACCGTTTGATGTAGTGGTAAGAGCTAGTGGCTGGCTTCTTTGCTTATCTGACCATCAGCTTGAATCCCAACATCGATCTCTGGGTTTTTATTTTTCGTGTTACAATCTTCCAAGCTACACATAGGATTTTTAAGAACCAGAAATCATGCATGAATTTTTCATGAGTCTGTTAGCTTCTGGATATCCAGTATATACACATACCACCTGCCTACGACTACAGAGCAACACCTTGACATTGTTTTCTTTAGTAAGAGCAGAGAGAAGTAGCTCAAGGAGTATCTATTAGGAAGCAGAGTATGCAGTCTTAAGACTTCATCATATCTCTCTTGTATGATTTCATCTTGATCCTCTTCAGACTTGCCCCTGCTTCTGGAATTCTACACTATCTGGAATTGTATCTGACCCCCATTGCTTACATTCTCACAGACAAGCTAGAAACGGGTCAGATGTACCAATGGATGAGGGACGAGGAAGAGATTTGTCAGTCATCTATAAAAAGAAGTGAAAGAACCAGGACCAGGGAGACAGCTTAGCCAAGTGCACAGGACTCAAGAGTCCCAGCACCATAAAAAAGTCAGGTGCAGGAGTGTGTGTAATCCCACAGCTAGGCAGGCAGACACAGAAGGATGCATGCAACTCGCCAGCCAGCCGATCTAGCCAAATCAGTCAGCTCCAGGTTCAGGGGAAAAAAATAAGGTGGAGAAGAAACTGATGAAGACTCCAGATATCAACCTCTGGCCTCCACACACATGCACTTAGTATGTGCACATAAATTTTCACAAATACTTGCACACACAAACACACACACAATAAATGAAACAGCAAGCAGTAAAATATCTGACAGTGTGTAAGGAAAACTAATTTAGAAGAGTCATTATTGAGGTATTAATATAAACATGAAAAAGGGGGAAACAAATCTATACATGTTAGACACCAAATGTCACTGTGAGATCAGATGAATTTCAATGTCATACCACTATCCTACTTCTATACACAAGACAAAAACTCTCCTGCATCAAACATAAAATACTAAAGAGATTACCAAGCCTGTCAGAAAGATTCTTCTCTAGCATCTCCCACGATGAAGTCTGAGAGCCTAGAGTTGCCTGTAAATTTTCTATCTGTCGGAGCAATGGTCTTGTTGTTGATGAAACACTTTGACTCAGTTCTTGGTTTCGATTCTCTGCTTCTTGGAGTCTCTAAATCAAAAAATGCTCACATTATTACCACTGACAGAAACAAACAAACAAAAAAAAAAAAACACTAAAAACACCAGAAAACCTAAACTTCAGAAAGTTTTTCCAGGAGAAAGTTATTAGCTTTTTTACTATACATACATATATATATGATAGATAATGAATATACAACAAATCTATCATGATAAAATTACTTCCTTTAAAGCAAAATTAGAGATTTCCCTTTTTCATTTCTTTAAGGGGATTACTTTGGTTCCCATAAGCTATGAACATACATCAATAGCATTTATAATAGGAATGCTTTCAATTGAGGAATATTAGCCCAGTGAATGATCATGTTACTTCAAGAAGACACATTCTTGACCTCACGCTTAGGAAAGCTGTGACAATACCTGCTGAAGTTCACTGATCTCATGGCGTAAATAATCCTCTTTCCTCGCAGCAGTTTGCTCTGCCCGTTGCAGTGCTAGTCTAAGGTCCCCCACCTACAAGACAAATAACACTCCTATTGTCAGAACACTGGCTGTAACTTCCTGCTGATGACATTTGTATTAACCTTTTATGTATGACACTTCACACTAAACAATGAACTCACATCCCACTCCTTAAGCAATGCCAGAGCTATAAATATATTCAGAGCTATAAATATATTTATCTAAGAAAGCACTCTGTTAGCCAAAGAAAAGCATGCAAATATGTATAGTCCTGACATATAATAGAGAGGAGAAAATATATGCATAAACATTTGCCACAACACAGGGTGTGGTAAGAACTAGATGAGCTATAAGTAAGTAAATAAATAAAGCCTAGGCACTAAACTAGGTGTGGTGGCAACACCTGTGATTTCAGTGTGAGCAAGTTCCAGGCCAGCCTTGTCTACACAGTGTTCCAGAAAGATCTGAGCTACACAGTAGGCCCTATCTGAACACCAAAAACCTAAAATTAAAGGAGAAAAGTGTTAGCAGAGTGTGACGGTGTGTACTTGCAGTCACAGCTATTAGGGAGAAACTGAGACAAGAGTTAAGGGTCACTTGAATAACATGGCTAGACACTGTTTCAGAACACAAACAAGGAAGAAGGTACTACTCATATATAGTCGCACACTTTGTAACTGTCTCCTATTTAAATCATATTTAAATAATCAGAAAATGCTGTCAGGCCTCTAGCTGGTTATTGTAGTCCTGAAGACTCACTCTATGGAGCATACAGACTTGCCCTGCAGCATTAGCAAGCCTGGCAACAACAAAATGAAACCAGAACTCTAAATAGCCATCAGTATTGTAATTTGTTTTCAAATATTGATACATGAACATAAGCATTAAAAATTATAATCAATGCATAAAATATTTATTCATCCTAAATGAAAAGACTATAATATCTATAGTTATCAATTATAAGAAAAAAACTAGATAGAGATAATATTAACAAAGTAACATACAAAATGATCAAACCTTACACAGCATAGTGGTTTTAAGAATGACAGTCCCATACTCTATTCCTTACTCCCTCTATTTTTCTTTATTACTGTAATGTACTTTTAATTTGAAAGAATTTTTCAAAATTGGCATATGTCTCTGTGTAAGTGTATGCATGTGTACTACATGTGTACAAGAGGCCATGGAAGTCAGAAGAAGTCACTGGACCACCTGGAACTAGAATTATGGGCAGTTATAAACTGCCATGTGCAATCTGGGAACCAAACCTGTGTCTGTAAGAGCAGTATGTACTCCTAACTGCTGAGTCATCTCATCAGCCCACTAATTTATCTATCTATCTATCTATCTATCTGTCTGTCTGTCTGTTTATTTATTTATTTTTGGTTTTTCGAGACAGGGTTTCTCTGTGTAGCTTTGGAGCCTATCCTGGCACTCGCTCTGGAGACCAGGCTGGCCTTGAACTCACAGAGATCTGCCTGCCTCTGCCTCCCGAGTGCTGGGATTAAAGGCTTGCGCCACCAATGCTCAGCCTCAGCCCACTAATGTGTATATTTTCTTGTCAGGGTGGCAGAAATACGTGGACATATGGAACATGACATGATTTACAACAGCAAAACATTGAAAACAATCCAAAACCATCAAATATAGCTGAAAATTACATAGCCAAGTGGCATAAAACTAAAACTCTAAGTTCTACTATTACACAACATCAGAATAGTCTGAGAGATGGCTCAACTGTTAATGACAAGGTTCCTAGCCAAAACTATAAGAACAGTCGAATAAGTACATAAAGCATGTTGTAAAACAATAGAAGTTGTAGTCTTTAATATAAGAAAAGTCAAGGAGACACAAATGTGCCTGGGTGAAATTATTAAAAAGCAGACATATGTACTTTCTGTATTTATAATTGAAACACTGAAAAGATAAGCCAAACACTGATATAAAGTGGTTTATGTTCACACAAAGAAGAGCAATAAGACAGGACAACTTAGAAGCAAATGCTGTCTGATTGAATTTTGTTATACTTTCATCTGTAAGTAATTTATCCACCAAAAATGTAAAACAAAACCAAAAGTTAATTGATGTTGCTAACTTTTTTCTGTTTCTGGCTTTTTAACAGTACTGGGGAAACCAGACATCCGTCTACATAAGACCTAGTGTGGAATGCAGCTGTAGCTCAGGAGGAGCACTTGCCTAGCACAAAAAAGGCCCTGGTCAGACCCCCAGCACTGAAAAAAAACAAACAAAACAAAGTGCAATGAATATTTACAGAAGCAGTATCATCATAGCATCATTAACGATGGCCAAATGGTGTAAATATCTCGGATGTTCAATATTTGATGATTTTTTAATTTTTCAAGATAGGGTTTCCCAGACCAGGCTGGTCTCAAACTCACAGACTTCCACCTGCCTCTGCCTCCTGAGTGCTGGGAGTAAAAACATGTACCACGACCATCCAGCAATATTTGATGACTTTGAAAATAATGTATGCCAAACTTTACTTCTTCCTTCATCAGGCTCATGAATTGCCAGAAATGTTCAAACATGTTCAAGAGTCAACTGCATAATATAATGTAGTCTCATGAAACTGTATGTTTTAATTATATGCATATACATTACCCTGGCAACAGGATATCTAGTTTCATAAAATTCTCCTTCCTCTGGCAGTACTGGGCCCTCTGCATATAGGAGGCAGAGGCTTTATCAGTGAGCTACATCCCCCACTATATACTTACAAATATGTATGAAACTCTGAGAAAACCAAACAATAATGGCATGGTATGTGCACCACACTAAGGCAATGGTTCTCAACCTTTCCAATGCTGTGATCCTTCAGTACAGTTCTTCATGTCGTGGTGACTCCCAACCATAAAATTATTTTCGTTGCTACTTCATAACTTTAATGTTGCTACTGGCCCACAGGTTGAGAACTGCTGCACTAAGGACAATTTAAAAAACACACAAGTAAGGTTTGTACAATCCAGTACTCTACGAGTATCAGTAACATAATCATAGAAGCCTACCAGATGTACCTCATGTAAGAACAGATTCACATTTGCTAGTGAACTGTTTCATTTTGCAAAAACATGCACTAATCCATAAAAGGTGGCTTTAACCACTCACTGCCTACCTGAAGCACTAATGCCTCTTGCTGCTGACGGGCTTCTTCCTGAGCCTTCTCCAGTGTCGCAGAGAGTTCTTCCTTAGCCTTCATCTCACGCCTCAAAGCAGCTTCCTGCACCTCACTGTCCTTAGCAGCATTAGCTTTGTGAAGATCAGTAAGTTCTCTTTCAAAAGTAGATTGATATTTTTTTATTTATTAATAGATCAATGCAAAAGTAAACACTTACCCACACTAATGCAATGCACCAGAAATCTCAAAATAACAGCAAGCATACCTTATAATAACACTAGTCATTATTAGGACTCTGCTGGACTTGCTTTGTCTAATAACAAAACAAACTCGCTCAATCAGATAATGGAAAAGAGCTGGAAATGTCTCAGTATTTATAAGAGCACTAACCATTCTCCTGGAGGACCTAAGTTCAATTACTGGCACCCACATGGCAGCTGACAACTGCTGAAACTACAGTTCTAAGGATCCAACAACCTCATCTGGCCTCCTTGGGCATGTGGCACACAGATATGCTCGCAGGCAAAATACAACACATACAAAATAATTTTTAAAAATAAAGAAAAGGGAATTCCTCAACCTTCTACTGTAATACCAGATTAGAAACACACTGCATATTTCATACCTGTATGCACTATCTAGGGCAGCCTGAGTACTTCGGCTCTTTTCTTCAAGTTCATCCAAGTCTACCTGAAGTCGGCCAAGATCTTTCTCTTGGCGTTCTACCACAGAATTTAGTTTTTTAATATTTTCTCTATGTTGTTTCTCAACTTCTTCTTTGCCATCAAGGACCTATGTTATCAAAAAGACAAGAAACACTTTTCAATAAATGATGCCATGGTAGGTAACGCCAGGAATTTCTTAATACCAGCTATAGCTTGAACAGGAAATTGGCCCATCAGTGCATGTGTCTGAACATGTGCTCGGCTGGTGGTATTTTGAAAAGCTTTGGAACCTTTGGCTGGAGGAAACAGATCACTGGAGAACAGGCCTTCAGGGTTAGCTCAGCCCCCACTTCCAGCCTCACCTCTCTCTACTTGGTTGGCACCATGTAACAAACAGCCACACACTTGCGCCACATAACAAGCCCTCTGTCACACCTTCCTACTACAATGAAATCTCATCCTCTGAAATCTTGAGTCTAAGGAAACCTCTTCTCCTTCAAGTTGGTCATGTCAAGTATCTGGTCATCAGGATGTTAGATAACATATTAGCTATTCATTTATCTATTAGACTAAATAAACCTTTTTTTTTATTTGTTTGTTTTTTTTTGTTTTTTCGAGACAGGGTTTCTCTGTGGCTTTGGAGGCTGCTGTCCCAGAACTAGCTCTTGAAGATCAGGCTGGTCTCGAACTCACAGAGATCTGCCTGCGTCTGCCTCCTGAGTGCTGGGATTAAAGGCATGCGCCACCACCACCCAGATAATAAAACCCTTTTCTTGCAGGAACTCCCATTAAGTCATGCAGAATGCTCCACAAGCCATGGCCAATAACAGGAAGTTATTATTCTTAAACAATACACATACAAAGAACACTGACTGCTAGTCACCTGTCTTAAATGTTGTAATTCCTCTTCCAGCTCCTTAGCTTTTCTATTCAGCTTTGCAATGACATTTTCATTGTCTTTGTCTTTCGTTCTTAATTTCTTAATGATGTTAGAATTATGCAGCTGCTGTTTTGAAAGTTTTTCTCCTGATTGTAAAAAAAAAAAAAAATTAAAAAAGCACAAATGCAAAGAACAATGGTTGTTTGAGAACCTTCATAGAAAGCTTTGTCTAACCAGTAGCATACATAAGTTTTTCTTTTTATGCCATAAAAAGTTTTAAACTCCAGTGTTAAAATTTACCTGAACAGGAATTATCAATGATTATCAAAATTATCATTTGAAAGGATGCTAGGAAACAAGATACTAACAGTCTTCATTTGATCTCTAACTTCAAATTCAGGATCCTACTATCTCAACCTCCTAATACTGGGATGACAGGTGTGTACCTGTACAGCTATATTTTAAAATTGTCTATGTAACTGTGTTTCCTCTTGCCTAAAGTATGCCATATCTAGTATTGTATCAAATAATATACAATATACTCACTATTCAAAAGAATTCTTATGTAAGTTAAAAAAAAGTTGGGGTAAATGTTAATTTCAAGTGAAGTGAATGCTTCCAATTGTCCTCAAATTCTACACATGCTCTAAAACACATTTATATTCAATGACTTAAGTTATATAATATGAACATTTTAAAAATAAAAGATCAAACACTAATAAATCTTAAAATAATTGCAATATCCCCATATAATGGACTTTAGACAGCCACCAGTAATGATGATATACAACACATTTACTAGGACAGTGACATATCAAGAAAGCCGCACATGGAATATATGATCTCAACTGTGCTTAACAGTGTAGAGACACACTGAAGAAAAGCTAGACCTCCAAGATTAAAGGGACAAAACAAAACAGCTGAATAATTTAAAAAGTCAAAATACAAATACAGTAAAAGGAAGTCATCAAATGCTAAAACCATAGCTCACTATACTCAAACCAAGGATGCAGAGACCTTATAGATCCTGAATTATAACCTTCAGATATCTTTGTTTAAATGATGGGGTCTTTCATTTCAAGCACAAATTCTGACTTGTTTTTCGAAAGTTTTAAAACAAAAACCTACACAGCATATATTTCTTTTCTTAAACTATTTTTAAGAATCAGCAGAATACTCACCTTCTTCCATTAACCCTTGAATCTGTTCTTCTTTCTCCTTCAAGAGGTCTGCAGTCTGACTACTATTCAATCTAGTGGCAAGTTCTTCTTTCATGGTTTTCACTTCCTAATTTAAAAAAACTATGGTTACCATAAAGAATTATTTTCATTCTAGGTATGTTTTTCTCAGCTTTTCCATTTGAAGAAGCCACCCATAATCACATTCCCATAATAAATCTGTCAGTTGAGTCAACCCACTTACCTAGTTAACTAAGACAAAGAAACAGCTTTGAATACCACATAAAAGCCTACAGTTATATAAGCAAGTTTTAATATGGAAATGTGAGGAAAATAACTTCCTATACTTTCCTTCAGTATCTCTCTAGGTTACACTTCGGACAACACAGCAGTATAGGACAGGAGGAGGGTTGTTGGTTAAGATTCTCAAGTTACTGCCAATGTCTGAAATGAGCTAGCTAATTAAAGCAACCAAGCAGGTAGAATTATGAGACACTGTGTAAGAGCTAACAGAAAAAACAATAAATTACCACTGACATTAGTCAGGGAGCTGGACAGGAGTCCTGTGAGATGGCTTGGTGGTTAAGGGCACCAAGCTTGATGACCTATACTCAGGATCCACAGATCTTTGCAAGTGTGATTTAGTGTGCCAAGCAAGTGCACCTGCACAGGCCCACACACACCCTCACACCTACACACAAAATTAAAATGTAAGAGATTAAAAAATAGGAATAAGGTGGGAAAGCAACCCAACCTCAAAAAATTACATGCATACACTAAGTTATTAGTAACAGTTAGGACTTGTACAGTAATTAACAATCATAGTTGTTAGCAATGGAATCTGTAAGTGCTCTAGACTGGGAGCACCATAACAACAGCTTCTGAACAGGTACGGCTTTGCACCCAAAAGCATTTGGCAATCTCAGCAACTACACAGGGAGGGCACTACTACAATGACACGGAGGAGCCAGGGACGCTGCTAAGCATCCCACAACAAATAGAATAGCAGAATTAGCCTAAATGCCAACAGCATCAAAGATGAGAAATGTTAGAACAAGTCACTATTACATATGCCAAAAGACAGATATTTTCCATTACCTATAAACTACATCTTTAATTCATAAATGTTTGAAGTGGTCGGAAAATAATCCATGGGACTAATGATTACTTTTTAAAATGTACACAGCACCATTTAGGTTTCACTGTAATTCATTCTGATGGAATTATCATTTTTAGTTATCTTAATGATCTTTGCTATATATCTTGCAATGATTCATTCATAAACTATACAAATGTCCATTTAAAGAAAATGTGTGTGCGTGCATGACTATGGAAGACACAATAGACTTCAGGTGGCTTCCCTGATTACTGCTCCACATTATTTTTTGAGTCATGGTCTGAACCTGGAGCTCATCAATTTGTCAAGGCTGACTGGATGGCTACTGTGCTGTTTAAGGATCTACCTATCCGCCCTTGGCCCCAGCACTGGGGCTACAGACACATGCCATTATGTCTGGCTTTTACATGGGTTCTGGAGATTCAAATTCAGGTCCTCATGTTTGCTCCACAGGTATTTCAAAGTCTACTGGGTCAACTCTCCAGTTCCTACATTTCTTTAAAGTATCAAAATCTACCAATTTTAATAAAACAAATATCTATAATTTTCTTATTAATATACTACATATGTTTTTGATATTTAATTTTTCTAATATCAAAATATAAGTTCATTCATGGAGTTCTATAGAGTTTAATTTAAATTACCTTCTTAGCAGCATCTCTCTCTTTGCAGGCTAGTTGAACTTTCTTTTCTGCTTCTGCAATTCTTTGGGTAAATTCATCCTTCAGGGAAGAAATGTTACTACTTTCTTCTTTTACTCTGAACATTTCACTAGATTCAAAATACATGAGAATGAAAAAAAAAAAATACATGAGAATGAAGACACTGTTTATACAGTCCAGGGATACTGAGGTCTGTTCCCAAAACGCAAATGGCATTTTCTCCAATATATAGCATATTAAAATAGAACTGTGTGAGGTCTCATAACTTTTATTCTGTTTTTTTTTATAGCTCTTTTTTTAAATATTTATTTATTTATTATGTATACAGTGTTCTACCTGCATGTATCCCTGCAGGCCAGAAGAGGGCACCAGATCTCATTACAGATGGTTGTGAGCCATCATGTGGTTGCTGGGAATTGAACTCAAGACCTCTGATAGAGCAGCCAGTGCTCTTAACCTATGAGTCATCTCTCCAGCCCTCTGTTTTAAAACCAGGTCCTACTATATAGTGCAAGTGGCCTCTCTAACTCATCCCTGCCTCTGCTTCCATTGTAGATGTGTGCCACAATACCTAGCTAGCCGATTACTTTTTCAAAGAAAAACTACTAAACTTACTTTATGCATCTATTGGTGTTGCTCAGGATTGAATACAGGGTTGTGCATGCCAAAAAAATGTTCTACCACAGACCCGTATCCTCAGCCCTATAAATTAACATCTCAAACAAAACCCACTGATGAAAATACCACCAATATTAGATGTACAAAACTAAGACAAAAGCAAATGTTTCAATGAATCTTTTCTGATACAATTCCTCAGTCATCTCAAAGTAAACCAATTCAACGTTTTTAACTACAGGATTTCAATTTTCACTGAATATATGTTTTAAATCTCTAATACAAAAAAAAAAAGGAGAAATACACATGAATGTATTTTTATGAAACATTTTTCAATGCCAGAGATAATATGATAAAGATAATTTGAGAAAAAAAATCCTTAAATATGGTAATAACTAGAACACTATGTAATTTTCAGTGACTATTAACTGCAAAACATTTTGTAAAGATTTATTTACTGAGTGTCTGCATGTATGTACAAATACCACATATGACCCTGGTACCCTTGGAGTTATGAGGATGCTGGGAACCAAACACAGGTCCTCTGCAAAAGCAGCAAGTGTTCTTAACCACTAAGCCATCTCTCCAGCTCCAGATTGTAAAACACTTTAATTTCAAAATATCAAAGTACACTGACTTGCACAGCTGTGTAAAATCACTCACGTGCTTTCAATACTTACTCCTTCAAGTTATCATAAGCTTCCTCTAGAAGTGCTTTTTCTTTACTAAGAGACAACAACTGAGCTTCCCTCTTCTCCAGTTTCTCATTCAGAAAGTCAAGTGTCTGGGTAAAGAGAACAACCACAAGTCAATCATTTGACTCTGAAAAGTTCCTTTGTTATGCAGGCAAAGAGATATAAGGGTAAGCCATTCACAAATCAAAAACCAATGCTGAGGTCAGGAGAGCACACATCAGCTAAGCACATAACCGGTAGGAGTACATACAAAACAATTAGGCAGTACTAGCTGATCAGCTACCTATCTGAGGGTGCAGAAAATTCCACGTCTAGGTATACCTTAGAGGAAGCAATGGTGAATATACTAGGTGATATGCATAAGAAGATTTAAAGCAGTTTGTTTCTAACAAAAAAACTTAGGATAATTTATTTGTATAGCCACTAAGGAAGATAGATAATTTTCTTTTTTTTAAAGGTCAAACATCTATCTGGTAGTGTTTCAGATTTTCATTTAGTAGTAGCTAGATATTCCTCTGTATTCTTATTATTCTTTAAGTCAAACATTTTTTTTTACTATTATCCACTGTGCTTAAAAAATAAAAATACTCTGAAAAACCTATAAACAAGTCATTTGAATTTTCCAGGATGTATCAGTACAAAGCTAAAAAGAACTAATTCTCTGAATCTCATCCCTTAGGTCTTGCTAAAGCAGTGATAAGCTAATCTGTAAAGGGAGAAAGGGTACCTTTCCACCTTCAAAAGCATCTTGTCTGAATCAGAGCAAACTAAAAGTCATTTGCCTTCATTAAGACACTGAAAACACGAACAGTAACTAGTGCTGGCTTTCAGGGATTCACAGTATCAGCATGTACTCCATAGTTGCTACCATTCATTCAAAACTATAGCACAGCACTATGCTCCTGAATAATATTAAACCCAAGAAACAGAATCTGCTGCTCCTAAAAAAGGCAGGCAAGGCAAAACAGAGCACTTACAGTACATTTCTCCACGTATGTTATATATACATTTGAGAAGCCTATTAAAGATGTCAGCTCCCATTTAATTTCTAAGAATCAGGAAAAACCAAACTCTGATTTAACATTAAAGAATTGACACCATTTTCATTTTATGTATTAGGGAGAAGTCATTTGTCATTCCTAAGTTTTACTTTTGCTCCCTGAACATTTTCTTTTCTCATTTATGTAAGACAGCTATAACAGCAGATATCAAAAATAACAAGGGGAAACCAAGCCCACACACTGTAAGAAGTATACTAGTTACATCAATGAAATCACCAACATTAGAATATTAATCACAGGAAAGCATCACTAGTATTTATATAAAGTATTCATTTTTAGACAAAATCTAAAATTTCCCATAAATAGTATGTATATGCAAAACATTTTGATATAAGGAAAAATAGTAACATTCGGGTTGACTTAACATGTCTATGTCAGAAGAGTTATGATATGTGACATAAACAGTACTCTGCAAACTAACATAAGAATGAACAGCGCATAAAGGAATTTTAAAGTGATGAGGATTCAACAGTAAAGATGTAAAATGGAAATGTTGGGCTTTTTTATAATATCTACTTATTCTACCATAGTTGCTTTGCAGACATTTCAAATACTTTAATACAAATAATTATTCATTTTAAGGTCCTTACGCCACAATTAAATGACCAGAGATCCACTTCTTTTTTTGTTTGTTTGTTTGTTTTTGTTTTTGTTTTTCGAGACAGGGTTTCTCTGTGTAGCTTTGGAGCCTATCCTGGCACTCGCTCTGGAGACCAGGCTGGCCTCGAACTCACAGGGATCCGCCTGCCTCTGCCTCCCGAGTGCTGGGATTAAAGGCGTGCGCCACCAACGCCAGGCTTGAGATCTACTTTTATCACACATCCAGTAAATGTTTTCATCACTGCCACACCTCAAACCCAAACTTTGTAGTTACCTTGCAAACATCTTCTTTCTCGGGCGGTGCTTCCGGCTGACTTTCAGCAGCTTCACATTGCTCAGCAGCTGGTCCAGAAGCAGGATGCCCTTCATTTGCTGGCGTAGGAGAAGCCAACATATCTGGCTGTTCACAATTAACAGGGGTAGCACTCCGGCCACTTTCCTCTAATTCTGCTTCTTCAGAAGGTGCAATTAACGTTTCGTTTCCTTCCTCTTCTTGAGCTTTTTCTTCAGTGGATTCTGCTACTTTAGTCTTTGGGGTTGAAGAATTCACTACTATAGGCACTAAAGCATAGCCCTTGCCTGGCAGTTCATCATCTGAGTTGATTTCGCTTACACTCCGGCTATCTAGAGACTGCACACTAAACGAGTCTATTCTTTCAAAAGCATCCGATGAGCAACAACTCTCGTTGAGCTTTTGGAACTCATCTAAGCGGCCATACTCAGGACAAGCAGATGCAGTGAGCAGCTGAAATGATGTCTGCATGAGGTGAAGACTTGACTTTGCATCTGAAGTCTCTTGCCTTGAACTAGCTGAGCTCTCACTTATTACACTCTCATGATCTAAAACTTCAATATCACTGGTGGTAGAAGTGCCCGATGAGAAGGAGCTAACAGGAGGAGATGGTGTATTGCTTTGTCTGTCTTCATGCTTTTGTTCCTTAGTTTCCAAAGCCATATCCTTAGTTTCTGCTGTGAGAGATGGGGCGGATGTGGTAGATACATCTTCTGTTGTTGTGTTTACATGAGCTATATTTTGAGAAGCTTTCAGTTGCACAGTGGGCACCTTCACCTCAGACTCTTTAGTAGCAGTTTCTCCATGCTTGTCTTCAGGTATAGATGAAGGAGGACCCACAGCCTGAGTTTCTCCTGGTTCACACACAGTCTCTCTCACTTCTGACTCGGCTGTTTCAGAAGTTCTGGACTGGCCAGGGGATGATGATTCATGTAAACTGCTTTTCACTTCTTCTTCTGGCCTCTGTGATTTAACTGGAGGTTTTGATACCACTGGACTCTTCTGAATGGTCTGGATATCTGATGGAGAGAGAAAGGCACTGAAGAAACTTTCAGATTCATCTACTACAGTCCTTCGAACTGGCTTTGTAATTGCTTTAGGAGAGGCTGTTGGTGGACTCTGAGGTTCAGTGCTTGAGTTTAGTCCCCAGGTTGAAGTATCCCATCCTCCACTCACAGGGGGACTTATTCCTTTGACAAAAATAAATAAATAAATAAATTAATTAAAGAAAACACCTAGCATTAATATTTCAATCACCATCAGAGGTTTCATGTTAGAGAAAAGAAAACCTATGAAATACATACTATATCTTGGAGCAGTTAAACTCTTTGCTTATAGCATCACTAATCAGTTTCCAGGTTCCAGGTTAACTTTGGGCCCAACAGAATAACAACCAGTGTGTGCTGACCTGAGAGGGTCTATGAACAAGTATAAGACCAGGCTTGGCTTTGCCTAGACAAAGCAAGTATGTTATTTCCCTTTGAGAACATATTTAAAGTAATGATACAGGTTTTATAGCCCATTCCAGGTATGTGACTCATCTCACAAAAACAGTTTAAATCTTCACTAACAGGCCACATGTAGTCACAGCACTATTTAGCCACACAATCATTTTATTCTTGTAGATAATAAAACTTGATTATAAGCTAAACAGACAACACTCAAAACCAACCTGAGAGTGGAGACATTCTTTTTTGAAAATCACAATTAAACTGGTGTGAACACTAAGTTCTAGTGAATAAACTCACTTTTATGTACTTAATGACCAGTCTGCAAGTTCCCCTCTCTTCAGACCCCAAGAATTTCTTAAAAATTTTTGTCAAAAATTAAAAAGTAGACAAAAGAAATCACCAAAATTGTGTGCAATTAGAAGTTGTTGTAGGTTATTACCTGCGATGTTTTTAAAAAGCCAAGAAGCCTTTTTAACAAAGTCTACCCTTTAATAAAGATTCCAAAACTACCTGGAATTGATGTGTTGGGGAAACTCTGAGTTGGGAACAGTATTTGTTCAATGTATTACAGATTTGTCCAATGTATGAAAAACAGAAAAAAAGGTTAAAGCAAGATTAGGTCTGCTAGCTAGATTAGGTCTACAAGTTAGCTAGTTATCTACATGAATGCCATGTGGTTATCTTACATTCACCTAAACTATCCCATTCTTCAGACCTATGTCGTTCTGTAATCCAATACACAACCAGTGACCAAGTTTTCATAGCATTTATGAAAACTTGTCTCCATTCCAGATAACCTGCCCTTAGAAATAAATTATACAGCACTATTCATGCCTCAGATTTTAGGGGGGAAATGAGTATCTTTATATTTAAAACTTATTTGATCTCAAGGTTAGCAACTCCAGGGTCCAACCACAAAAAGCAAGGTGTATTACTCAATGGCAAGGTCATGTAACACACGGAAAGAGGTAAGATCATGACATACCTACATATACACATAGACTAAGATATCAATGGTTCAAACTTGGGCCCCGAGTCTTTAACAATGTACAGTTAAAACCAGAAAACAGATAGTGATCAAGTTCTTTTTCCATCCAAAGGTTTGTACTCCTGTGTACTTTGCTACACAAGTAAAACGCTCAAGAACCTCTCAGACTTAAAGACACAAGTAACTGAACCCTCGAAAGAGCAATTTCAGCCAATCTGAAAGACCTAGTTCTGCAGAAAAGTAGTTACACTTGGGAACTCTTGGCGCAAGCACACAGTCCCCTGGTACTATCTCCAGTACATTCTGTGCCTCACCTGGAACAAGTTACTTATACATTCTGGGTTTCGTTTAGCTCTTCCGTAGAAAACGGGTATTGTCAGTCCTGACTCGGGCTGTTTTGAAGACGAGGAAGCTTTCTGTAAAGTCTGTGCCACCAAGCATGAAGTGTTCATTAAGTGCTACCCACGGAGCTCCCTGACTCCGTGAATTTACAGAGTTCGGACCTAGGATGCAAACTGCGGAAGACGCGCAGAAATTAGGGGATCGGCGGCTGTGCTAAGGACCCTGCAGGAAGAGCCTGGGGGCCTGGACCACACTGTGATCTGACACCCGAGGTCAGCAGGGCCCGCACCGGGGGCCGAGGCGGGCGGGCCGCGGGGCTGGGGTCTGACGGCGAGCAGGAACGACTCCCTGGGACCCGCTTACCCGGCTCGCCGTACGGGATGGCCTCTGCCCAGGCGCTCGGCTCCTCCTCCTGGATGTCCAGAACCCTGTCGATGGACTTCTGGGCCTGAGAGAGGGCCTGCTTGGCGAAGCTGGACAACTGCGAGGCGTTGAACCAACTCATGGCCCCTCGTCAGTGCCGGCTCCGGCCGGCTCCGGCGGCCTCAGCGGTGGCCAGGGCCCACCGCCTCCCGCGGCCGCTCACGGCCTCCCGCACAGCTGAGCCCGAACCCACTGCGCATGCGCAGCCCTTCCACGTACACAACCACCAGATCCGGGAGCCGAGTTCCGCCCAGCCGGAAGGACGGGGCGGGGGCGTGACGACACATCCGGGAGCGGAGGGTAGCCCTTAGTTACGGTTGCTGAGGCAAGATTTTCCAGGTTTGTGGCTGCTCTCTGCCGACCCCCGCGGTTTGCTACGAGGCCTGGACCTCCCGGAGCCGCACGTGCCTCGCAGTGAGCCACGACGGTTAGGCCTCACATTTCTCGTGGCCAGTTCTCACTGGGCTTGGTTGTCTTTGCTTTGCCTGCCTGACTTATGGAGACTGTCCCCAAATCCTGAAAACGCTTACGAAAGAAGCGACTTTATTCAAAACCATGTCTGTAATCTGAATGACTTCATCAGAGCACTCCTAGGCCAAGGGGTGGGGCTTTTAGGAACCAGAGTCACGAGGTGACGCCCGAAAGGATAAATGCCCGATTAAAAAGGTCTGAGTGTCTTTGTCCTCTCAAGCATCATGTACCAAGGCCATGCCAGCCAAGAACCAGAAATAAGTGCCCTCATCAGAACAAGAGCTGTGTAGATCTTGGACCTCCCAGTCTTTGGGACTATAAAAACTAAGTTTCTGTTGTCTGTGAACTAGCCACTTTATTGCGATCTGTAATAGCAATTTGGAGGGACTAAGACACTTGGGAAGCAATAAAATGTAACCCATCGGTGTATATTGTGCATGCTACTTAAAAGATATAACCCGAATGCACTTTTTTTACACTTGGTCATGGAAGGACCATGATGGCCTTCCTTGTCCAATCAGCAGTTGTTTGGTCTAATAATGCTAAAGGAAAAATATATATATACACCAGCATTTAAAAGCTAAATTTCTATTAGACAGCCAGAGTTTCAGTCCCTTGTGAAAAGAGAATCAATCCTACACAAAGAACTACAGGCAGCTAAGGAATTCGGATACTAAGAATGGGAGAAAGTCTTCTTCAGGGAAGATCACACCAATTGGTTATCTAATACCAAATGGTCAGCCCTGAAACCATACACAAGCAGATGATCGGGCTGTATATATGTACAACAAATAATGAAAAGAGGCCATTAATTTGAAAGAGAGTAAGGAGGGATATACGAGAGGGGTTTTTTTGTTTGTTTTTTTCAAGACAGGGTTTCTCTGTATTGCTTTGGAGCCTGTCCTGCAACTAGCTCTTGCAGACCAGGCTGACCTTGAACTCACAGAGATCCATCTGCCTCTGCCTCCCAAGTGCTGGGATTAAAGGCATGTGCCCCAAACGCTGGTCCAAGAGAGGGTTTTGAGAAAGGGAAGGGAGAAATGATGTAATTATAATTCCCAAAAACATTCCCCTAAGACTATCCTAACAAATAGCTACCAATGCAGTGGCTTAAAATTACACAAATATTTTCACAGTTTGGAGCCAAAAGTCTGAAATTCTTAATAGGGTTGTCCTCCGCCCCCCAAAGCCTCAGGAATAACGCACCCTACTTTGACAGATCAATCTCCTAGCTTCACATCTTTGCAGGCAATCCTTTTCCTTGGTTACAGATACATCACTCATTTTTATCTCCCTATGTCTCTCACCTCCTTAATAGAGGTGCCTATCATATCAGATTAATGCCCCCATATTTGAGAATGAGCACATCCTATTAAATTTTATCTGCAATGACCCTAAAATTTTTTTTTCTAAAAAACAAAAAATCACATTCTTAAGAGCTCAAGGGTCCTATTCTGCTTCATGGCTGGCATCGCCTTAGTATGTCATGCTTTAGAGGACAAAGGACTCTGAGACCTCTTATTAGGGCGCGAATTCTTTTACTGAGGTGTCATCTCATGACAAAGAATGAATGAACGTGGTAATGGTAAGCTAGAATGGTCACTCCTTTTGATAATTATTTTCATACACTACAATTTCCCATGTATTTGAAATTCTAAGAACTCTGTTTAACACATTATCTGCCTGTCCCTCATACCTGAGTAGTTGCCTTACACTAAATGTAACTATGCTATAAAGGAACTTTTTCTTTAAAAAAACAAAACAATGTATCCTTGGCAAGTTATATTTCAATAATTTTATCCCACTGTATTACATTTTTGACTGTGTCAGAAGCCCTGGGTAGCAGGCTAGTGGCTAGAATGTTCTGAAACCCAGGTCCTAACTCTCGGCATAGGAAAAGCAACCTGCCCAGTCCCTGGAGGACAGAAGGAAGGGGGTGGGGGAAGGTTGTTGACACAGAAAAACTCTACAGTGAAGATGATAGAAAACCAGAGAAAGACAGAAGACAAAGCTAAGCCTGAGGATAAAGGAAAATAGTTGAATGTCACAGGGAAACTGGTCCTTGACAAAAGCTAGATGATGAAGTACAAACAAAAGATGAGGAGCCAGAGAGCAGGAAAAGTCACAAGATGAGGGCACATCAGAATCCCTGTAAGCAAGGTGGAAAGTGACTTGTGGTAATGTCATAGCTGAGGAGAAATCTGGCGGGAAGGAGGTGGTTTTCATTGAATGGAAAGAAATGTATAGAATATGTTGCCATAAGAGGCAAACATGGTAGCTGAGGAGATTGAAGGGGTGACAAAAGGGGCTTATGACCTGTACCTTTAATGTTTGTGTCTTTGGATTCTGACTTCTATGATGAGATTATCATAGGTCTTGCTTGCTTTGGTAGATTTTTGCAAGCCCTGTGTTTTAACCTTACTTTTGTTTTTCATTATCACTAGCCTTACTAGAAGCCTCTGATCCAAACAGCACAGGGTTCTGACTCATGTTTGCAGACCCAAAGAAAAAAATGTGTTAGCATGTACTAATACTTGAGTTACTTATACAAGGCTGTACTAAGTAACAATTCTTTCCAAACAGCTTAGAGTAAAGAAAAACTGTCCCAATACTTCTAAATGCACAGCACTGGGCAGGCAAGTGACATAAACCATTCAAAGTTATTTTCTAAGTTCTATGATGAAAATATTGTTGCCTTTTCATAAAAATTATTACAGCATCTTTATGAAGAAGGTACTCAGATTTAAGAATCTTCATCTTTAAAAAGACTCAACTGTTAGGAGGCAGAGGCAGGTGGATCTCTAGTTCAAATCCAGCCTGGTCTACATAGTAAGTTCCAGACAAGCTAGAGCTACATAGTGAGACTGTCTTGAAGAAAAAAAAAAAAAAAAAAAAAAAAAAAAAAAACCCAAAAAACCAAAAAAGGTTTGCTTTGTGACACAACCCTATAATCCCAGTACAGAAGGGGACAGTGGGAGGAGGGTCACAAGTTCAAAGCCTATTTAGACTACACAATGAAACCTTATCTTAAAAACAAACAAACTAAAACAAAACAAAAACTTAGTAGGGGATACTGCTTAGTGATGGAATATTGGTTTAGCAATGTACAAGGCCCTAAGGCTGATCCCTAAAACAACCACAAAGAAAAACTGTTGCCTCTATAACATTTTGGGTAAAGCATATAAATGTCCTATGTGGCTTAATTAACTATTTATGTATGTGGTTTTTCGAGACAGGGTTTTTCCATGTAATAGTTCTGGCTGTCCTAGAACTTGCTTGTAGACCAGGCCTGCCTCTGCCTCCCAAGTGCTGGGATTAAAAGCGTAGTGATCTACCTAGTGATCCTACTTTTTTTTTTTTAAAGCATATAATGCTTTTTAAAAAAAAATTATTTATTTGTTTGTTTGTTTGATGTGCACATTTGTCTGTATGAGGGTGTAGGATCCCCTAGAACTGGAGTTATAGAAAGTTGTGAGCTACCATGTGGGTGCTGGCTGTTGAACCCCAGGTCCTCTGGAAGAGTAGCCAGTATTCTCAACTGCTGAGCCATCTCTCCAGTCCCCCATGTGGTTTTATAAAAAAAAAAATACAAAGTTTGTCAACATGGAACTAGAAAAAACAATAAACAGGTATGGCTTAATGACAGCATTTAACAAATATGTAGGAGGTTCTATCTCTGTATGCTACCCACACCAGAAAGAAGACAGACTTCATACCACAAATCTTATGAATAAAAAAGTGCAACAAAATATTTTAAAAAACAAACAAACACTGCAAATTAAAAAAACAAAGAATGGAAAAACAGGTAGTATTTGCTCCCACTTTAAAATATTACAACAGCTGGGCTGGAGGTTAAGAGCACCAACTGCTCTTCCAGAGGTCCTGAGTTCAATTCCCAGCAACCACATGCTGGCTCATATGAGATCTCGTTATGAGATCTGTTGCCCTCTTCTGGTGTGCAGATATATACATGGAAGCAGAGTGTTGTATATATAATAAATAAATAAAATTAAGTATTTTTTAAGTATTTATGCTCCACTTTGATTTTAGTACTTTTGAAGAAAACGGGCATTTACTATGAAGTTATTCATCCTATTTCATTTATCATGTTCTAGCCAGTTAACCTAGTAGAAGGTCTTTATTATAGAAATCACTATAGTAAAATTTTAACTCAGGTGCAATAAAAATCTGGTAATAACTTAAATATTTAAAAATTATTCCTACATCACTATGGAACTATTTACTATTATTAATATACTTTAAATTTTTCAATAAAAAGTAGACAATGTATGACTTTATTAATAAATAGTGCAAAAGCATCAGTGATAACTGTTTAAACATTAATTTTCTTTGAACACCCATTGTCTTGGTTTAAGTTTGTGCACAATGGCCTCTATAACATTGCAAATAAACACATGAAAATACTTCATATTTCCATGCACAGGTACTAATCTGTAATACTGTTTACAAATTATTATGGACAAGTTAAACTCTACAATAATTAATACACATTTGGATAGCCACAATTATATGAGTAGTAATGAAGAAACAGCCTATGTCTGATATACTCTAGCTGTCAGGTTGTAATATTTAATGTTGTTAAAACATAGTTCCTCATTTCTGCTCAAGGATACATTCCTATACACGTGAATGCTCAAATATGAGCTGAGGAATACGTTCTTTGACCATAATAACAAACTCACGCAAAAGACAGTGTTTGTCCTGCTCTA